AGAATATTTTTCAGCCAAAACTGTGTACTGGAGATGGGCAAGGGTGGAGGTCCTAGGGGCTGGGAGTCTGAGAGCTGATAGGAAGGGTAAAGTGGATGGCTGAGGGCTTGGGACTATCAGTATTAGAGCTCTGAGGATCCCATGGGGTTGAAGGACATAGCTTGTCAATGTTCTATATTGCTATTGGGTTTATTGTAGCCCTTATAAAATTGAGACTAAAAGGCTCCAAGCGGGAACTTTATATAAGGAGACTTGGAAGATGTTCAAGACGGGCAGGGCTGCCATGTGGGATGAAGCTGTCATGTAAAATCTAAAGATGGAAACAGATGTGCCTTAAACTGTGGCAGTGTAAAATGGTCCAGATTAGGAGAAGGGTGAAGTGGCAAAGTACTACAGTTTTACAAATAGATATACATGTACAAACTAGTTCTTCTGCTAGTTTAAATAAATGAGCGTTTATTTCACTTGCAAATAGAAATTAGCTGGTTATAGAAATAAATGGTGATTGTTTGATATACACACAAAGCATTTTTGCAAGGTAATATTTTCAAAGGAAACAAATGTTATGTCAGTGAAAAATTTTAGTGAAAAATATTGTTTTAGACATTAATTTGGGAAACGGAATTGGATAAAATTTAAACATGTTGGCCACAAAAAAACTAGTTTTGTGCCAAAAAAATAAAAACACTGTTTAAATCAAACATTTCTTTCGTGCACAGAGTGAGGCCCTTAAAGTGTTTTCAAAAATTAAATGCTTGCATTAATGACTTTTCAGCACTGAGCCAACAATTTGCAGTTTTGTGATAATTTAAGTGAGAGACTTTTTTCTAAATGCTCTGGCAATGCGAATGTACAACTTGGAAAATACAAAATGCACATAGAATTTTGTCCAAGAAAAAACTTGTAAAGATGAACAAAAAAAATTGACTGGAGCGGAATTGAACCTGCGACCTCTGGAACACCGTACCAGTGCTTTACCCACTGAGCTATCCAGTCCTATGTCGGTGGTGCTTCCCATTTGTCAATATCTCTGTTTGGGAGGCGAACTTGTTAAAAGTGAGGTTCAGATCAGCCACTGGGTTGATTGAACAGTGCTGGTATTTGGGCTGCCTGAATGGGAACACCCTTTTTTAAAAGCATGCAATAGTTACGAACTTTTAGTCCTCAGAAGAAGTAGTATCAAAGTGTCTAGAGTCTTTCCAAAATGGTAATTATTTGCCAATTTTGAAGTACATGTACAGCATCTTGATAACTTAAATGTAGACATGAATGTTTTTAAATGTGCATTAATGAGTCAATGCGTTACGATGAAAAGGAACAAATTAAAGGCTAACAACAGTCTTTCTTCAAAAGCAAACTGACCAATTGTCCATTCAATTTAAAGAGTACCTCTTAAGTCATGAATAATTTGGATGCGAGTACAGTACAACGTCATTATACTGAACAATTCGGCAAACGAAACTTGAAAGGCCTCTTTGCTCCCAAATTTTCTGCGCACTTTTACTGAACATCACAAATTTGCTTTAAATTAAAGAAAAAAATTTATGACTGATGACAGTGACTCAAAAGTTGAGATGTCAACAAACTTCAAAACTGGAAAGGCCATGTTATGAGCCCATACATGTACATGTAGCAAAATAAGCAGCCGCACAAGAAAATCTGTTTTACATGAACAGGAAATTGGAATACACTTGATGTAAAACAACTTGACATTTCAACATAGGAAATGGCACCCTATTTTTTTTCTGGAAATGGCACCTCTGTTTTGGCAAATAGCGCCCTCTTTTCCAAGACCTTTCCCCTTTTTCATGGAAATCGGAACATTTTGATTTTTAGGCCTATGAAAATGCAACCATTGGAGCAGTACCAATGAATTCGCAATACTGTAGTTGGGGAGGTATGCTACACCAAGCATTGCGTATGGATCCTGCCCTGTTCATTATAGCAGCATTGTACTGTATACATATTCATGTACACTACTCAAAAAAATTAAAGGATCAGACGTTCGTCAGGTGTGTACCTCATTGACTTGACTTATTGTACACTGAAGCTTACATTATGTTCATGCTTGGTTGAGCACCACAGAATGTGAGACAATGCGATTAATTAGTCATGTTTCAGAGCCCAATTAGCTGGATGGGTCAAAAAGCATTGGCCGATGTTTATTGCTTGGGTATTGCACAACTTCAAAATGGTCACCTGTCACTCTCTTTGCACATGGAATGACTCTGAGGCAAGGGTGCGAGAGACTGGGAGTGTCTCATAGAGCTGGGGGGTGTTACAATGACGTGAATGAGACTGGCCAGCACTATACAACCCTATTGTGGTAAAATGATGCACAAGTATGTGTCTCATTTCAGGACATTTGAAAAAAAAAGACTGAAACATTGGACCTCTTACCATTTTGTGTTTAGGTTTGGGTAAACTGTAAAGATGTTTTCTTTAATGTCCTGACAACCAGAAATTTGATTTTTTTGGTATCAATCATCATTTTTACAGATAATTATAAAAAGTAAGTGATTTGGGGAAGATTTGCAAACAGATACATGTCAGACATTGCATTATTTTTCTGAATAAAAGGGTCTCCACATAGTTACATTCCATTTTTTTCATGCTGAGATACGTCTTCAAAGTACTTCATTTCTGTGATTCAGAATCACAAATAGTGCCCTCACTTACCAGAATATACTCATAAACAGTTTCTTCACATTACTGTGATATCATTCTAACTAATAAATAGCACCCTCACATTACTGCGATATCATTCTAACTCATAAATAGCGCCCTCACATTACTGTGATATCATTCTAACTCAGAAACAGCGCCCTCACATTACTTGGTTAGAACTCAATTTTTTATACATCATTTTCAGGGCCGTAAAAGACCTGGAAAAGGTGCTGACCAGAGGTTTTTTTTCAGTGTCGTGAGACTTCAGTAATCTGTAGCGGAAGTTTCTTGTTTTGATGCCAGAAAATAGCCAAATTAAATGACGCTCATGTTTTTGTGATGAGAATATCATTTGTTTGAATCATTAATCACTACGTATGATCCTTTGATCCTTTGAGTAGTGTACAAATGCAGATAGACTTGCTCCATCGCTAAGGTGGAAGCAAGGAACAGCATCTCTGACAAGATTGAGCCCTTTCCTTGCCTTTTTGTGAATCAATGCCTAAGATTCTGACGAGGATCCCTCATGCAATCTTGGAAACTCTTCCTCCTCAGTGATGGAGGCGAGGACTGGCATCTATCTGAGTTACTTCCTCTCCTTGACATTCTCATGAATCATCTCGGTGAAGTCCCATGGGATCTTGTCCTCCATCTTCCTTCTCTCCAGGTTGAAGGAGGCGAGGGCGCTCTTCTCATCAGCATCATGGTCTGCTTCTCCTGGGGCATACCCACAGTTTTCACATGAGGAGGTCTGGGGAAGAAATTAATGACAAAGGAACTAAGTTGCAGCAGAAATTGAGACATTTCTTCACAAATTACAGGATCCTTGTACGCTCCTTATTTTTACACCTTTTATTTCATTAAAAAACTGTTCGTGTCTATTGCTTTTCCTCCAGTTTCATGTCAGAAAATGAACTGACAAGAGGATTCCGTTGACACTGCTGACCCATTTTATTACTTCTGAAAGCATTTGTGATTTGTACTTGTTAAAAATATTTTTCCAGACACCCCTTTACTGTTTAGAGAATCAAAAAGTGACATTTTTAAACACTTAAAATTGTCCTTCCCTTTTCTTAACAAGTGAGGGCGCTGTTTTACAGCAACACTGTAATGTCAATCAGGGAAGACCACAAACCTACATGTGTGTAAAATATCTAAATACCAACAGCTCCGACAGAAATCAAAGATTGATCCCGAAGGTGTGGGCAGAAATATTTCAACAGTGTGCACAAGCCTGTTGAGTTAATATCAAAAATTTTGGATTGTGACTGAAAAACTGCTGTTTCCAGCGTGGTCCCTTTTTGTGTTTTGGTTCAATGTTTGTCAAAATTAAGGTAGGTCCTTCTTTAAATAAGAGCTCTGAAAACAATTTCTGTCCATATTCATTGCTTACCTTCAAAAAGCCTGAACAAATCCCCATAATGTATGTGATTTTAATTTTTAGACTTATTTTGAAATGTTTTGCAAACACAGTTCTCAGTGCCCTATCAGATAAAATTTGAGAAAATATATTAAATTTGCTAGTCAAAATATTTACAAACAACAGGGATGCCAGGAATTTCTTTGATGTAGAGCAGTGCGCGCAGCAAATCATGAAACCCCCGGGGACAAGGCAGCCATTTGCTCATGGTTATTGAAAATGGAGACTTTCCTTAAATTCTGCCCCTGCTGTTGTCGGTCTAAAAGTATTTTATGTCTTTGATTAGACGCTTCATTTCATGAGTTTTCTATTAAAACTATGAAACCCAAATTGCTCCTTGAACATGCTGAATATGTCTCAGGAAATGTGGACCATTGATCAATGGTAATTTGTCATGAAACAGAAATGAACCATGAAGGAACAGGAGCACTGTGAACAATTCCAGTATAGTGGGTGCATTCAACTGCCCTGGTTACGAGGGGTTTAACCTCATCCCTTTTGTCTTGCTTGGTTAAAACAATGCACACAACCATCCATAGGTCAAGGTTGCCATAAAAGCTAGCCACAAGCACCCAAGGGTGGATCCAGAACCCAATTTCTTTTTTGGGGGAAGTGGGGACAAATTTGATTCTGGGGTTCAAAATGTTTTAAATTAGAAAGTTGTTCGAGGGGTTAGGCTACATTTCCACTTTTCAAAAGAAGGGAAATTAAATAGACCAAAAAGATCCTTTCACGTTTTCAAATGACAACTATTTTGCTGCTGTTTTGGTCGTGACCCCAATTGGCCTCTCCCCCCTTTCCCGGATTCATCCTTGCAGACAGCCAGCAATGATATGAAACACAGGACTCTTACCTGTGCTACTTACCGGTATGACGTAACCTGCATCTTCACTTTGGAGATATCATCGGTCAGTCGACTCGCTCCATGACGCTAGCCAGCCTCAACATTCGTGTAGGCAGCCATGGCAGTACATGTACATGTGCATTCACCTGGCAACAAGCCTTCCCAAATCCAAACATGGAAAAACGGCAAAAAAAAACAAGAAAAGGTCACCCAAGGTTTTTCAGTCACACTGTAATAATGTTTTCCCCAAATGAGCAAACTTAACAAATTGTGAAAACTCTGGCTGTGTGAATGGAAATTTCTGGAAGAGCCTCTGAATTTTACCCTAAAGACAAAAGAGCTGGGGAGGGGAGGGGGAATCTACCTCCCTTTAACACATTTTCAAGAAGCCTTCTGGAATTTTTGAATAACTCTTTTTGGTCATTCCGACACCATTTTTGTGAAAATCCAACATACCATTCTCGCGCAGCACCTTTTTTCTGAGAGAGGTCAACCAAGAATGAATACTTTTCCACTGCCAGTCCCAACTTCCAAGTTACTGTCAAACCGTATGACAGATCGAGATAAAACTTCAATATTTGTATTGGGAAGGAAAATCATGCACACGAAGTTTGTACAAAAACCCAGCATTGGACAGCCCAGTTCTTGGGGGATTGCCGCAGGTTGTGAGGTGGTCCTATGTTTCCAAGCTCTTTTAGGGTTAAGAATTAGGAAGTACCAGGGTCAAATCTACCTGCAAAAATTGATTTCTTCACAGATGGCAAATATGACTGACAAGTGGCAGCTTGTCTACCTGCTGTTTTCTCCATCCACTGTTCTTGCTCCTCATCACTGTCAGAGTGGCTATCACTTGGACCCTCACTGGAACTTGAGTCTTGAGCCCGCTTCTTGAGAAGAACTAAAAGGAGATAAAATACAGATGTCATCACTGACTCTAGGTGTTAACTTAAGCAGTGAAAACAGAGTGGTGACTTCATCAGAAAAATTGAAAAAATGAACACAAAATGTAAGCAGTATCTTTCCTTGGTGGAAAGCTGCATTGAATTGTCGAATTTGTTGGACAAAGGAAGTCACGGTACAAAGGTTTTGTATAGATTTGTTCATTTTGTTTCTGATATCTACATGATCTAGGGCCTTTTTAAGCACAGTCTTTGGACAAAGTACATGTACATGTACTTACATGTACCTTCGTTGTCTCTGGTACGGCTAACATCAGAGTATCTTCATAATTTTCTGCGAGGCCAAACTTGTACATTTGTAATGAGTTTACACAACTTCTCAAATGTTTACGCACGGTTTTTGGTGATTTTTTTTAAGTGCGCCACATAAGGGAACACTAACAGTCAAGATCCAATGGCACGATTACCTGATATCCTCAATGTTAGTCGAGCTGAAGGCCTACATTGTACATGTATGGAAAGAAATCCATTACTGATGGCACTAATACTTCCCTACAGTGACTTATAACACTATTAGTATGCATACATGTAGGCACTACCAGCCATATCAAAGTAACAAAAAAGTGTCCTAAAAAGTCAAAATTTAGCAGTTGAAATGTTGCTGATATTCACCTCGAAAACACTTGAACATTTCAGACCAGTGTCGTAAGGTTTCTTCCCCCACGGTCCATTTGTCCAAAGGGTGTCAGGCCACATCCATATTACATTTATTTTATTTATTTATCTGATCGTCTGACGGCGCATTTAGCGCCAATTAGAAGATTATAATGAGTGAAGAAGACAATGAAGAGATGTTCAGCTTTAGAGGGGAGAAGAAAAGCCTGGGGAAGTTTATATCATCATACATCATGGAATTCTTCTAAAAGAATGTAGGTCAATCCAACTTGCACAGATGAAGCACCCCCTCATTGGTCGAAAAGAGCCATGTCATGTTGGTGGGGAGAGTTCATTTACTGGTAGTGACTCAACCATGATGCGTGTACTTCATAGTCTCCTGCGGTGCAGTTCCCACCAAAGGAGCCTCCGTTAAAATTGCGCCATGGTCCCACCCAGGTCTCATACATGTACAACCCTAACTGAAGAGACCGGAAGTGCCATCCAATCTGGGCTAGGTGACAGGCCCAGGCTGAGAATAAGAACATGATTGATGGAGAAAAGATATTCGCCATGTTTAGGAGGTTTACCCCAAGAACTGTGGGTTATGCCTACAGGATGTTCTAAAGTCACTAAATCTGTGGGAGTTGCGGCCATGTTTGTTTATACGGGGTTGCAAATGCTATTTTTTTTAAAATCTAGCCTTTGAGGTATCATGACCGGTGATGCAAATTTTTCAATCAAATTTTCATGTGAGAGCAACCTTAGGGTACCTTCGTGCATATATGCTCTTGAAAACTGTGTAATTAATGCCGGTTTTTAGACTTAAAGACCAATCTAGCCTATTTTGAAAACTTGGAGGGTTTACTCACGTATCTCCTGTTTTCCTCCCAACAATCACATTGTACTGAACATCCGGTGTGTGCATCACACACTCAGTACACATGCGCGGGCCAATGGCTAATTTAGCAAGGTCAGTTTGTCCATACAATGTATATCCATGAAGGGGTAAAATCTTGTTATTATCAAATGAGTGGCCCCTGAGCTACATGTACGTGACTGGAATGATACCATCAGGCCCATTGCTATGCTAGCTGTGACAGGTTAAACACTACCACCTCCAAAAATAGTCGAATTGACACACGTAGCTCAGCTACATGTATATTGGTCCTTTGCTGTCGCAGCATGTGCAGTGTGATGATGCACACAAAATGTACGGTACGGTGCGATCGTTGGGAAGAAAACAGAAGAATGATGAGAAAACCCTCTGTGATTTTTGGTGTAAATCCTCCTTTAGCCTGGGTACCTCAAACTTAATGGTTGCTCTCATTCTAAAGGGAAAATTTGTTTGAAAAAAGTGGAATTTGAGTCACTTATCCACTCCCAGATCTGAAGGTCTGACACCTGCCCTGCTCGGTGCACATTGGACCTAGCACAGACACATGACAGACTCGATGACTTCTGGCAGAGAGAAACGTGTCCCACTACATATCGGTACTTCAACTCATTGAACTGTGAACTACTAAGTCAATCCTGGAAACTTTCAAAATTCCACAAACAAAATGTATTTGCATGATTCCATGCAAACCCAATTGTTGTACATGTACCAAGCAGCGTTCCAAACCTTGCTGTGACCTGTTTTCCCATTTTGTGCATGCTGCAGCACCACGGACATATTAACACATAGACCACCAGTCTTGTGCAGTAAAATAAAGTTAAAAATCAGAAAAATCCAAAAATTTAAATATGCACAGCATGCCAAAGTGAAGTTGGGCTTGTCGGGCTTATCATAACATGGGATGGCCTGCATGATGTAGTATGGGGGAGCACATCAGACCCAACGACTTGAGGGATAAACGATTTCCAAGATCTGTGGAAAATCTTAGTTGGCATACAGGCCTACTAAAGTTACTGATGTCATTTTCCATGATCCATGGTTGATCCTATAGTCCTACACATAGGATTAGTCTCAACATGGCCTTTTCCTTTCTCCATGATCCACGGTAGGGCCTACTTGTACATGTACTGTACGTCTCATCACTCTGAGCTAGCTGAAGAACTAGGCCTATGCATTTTATTCCTGTAAACCGTGGAATAATAAAAGCAAAATCCATTGTACTTACTCCATCAATGTCATCACGTAGGTGCATCAGCAATTCTTCGAAGACTAATTTCTTGATGATACACGGAGTCGCGAAAATAAATTATTAAACGGATTAAACTTTAATTTAAAGCGACCACCGTACGCGCTCTGATTTCTATTGCGCCCTCTCGTGACTTCATTCCACCAATCGACGGCTCGTATGTACCGTCTGGGGAATCCCCTACAAATAATGACAAACCGTTTAACCTTTTCCTTACTTAACTCACACTTACCTTACATACCTAGTGTGGACGTGAGTTTTTTTTAAATTTAGATGGGCATCACTCAATGACCTTCAAAATATCTTGGAATTCATTCAAAAAGTAGATCTGAGTAATTTACAGAAAAGTCAATTTTTGGCCCAAATTAAATGTTTTTGCATTTTTTTTCAAAATATAAAATTTCTATTTTCATTAAAATTTCGATGAACATCACTCAATGACCTTCATAATATCTTTCAATTCATTCAAAAAGTAGTTCTGAGTGATTTCCAGAAAAGTCAAATTTTGTTCCAAATTTGATCATTCTGCCAAAACCCTTGCATTTGTTTTACTTGAAATTTCTGTTTTCAATCACTGAATGACCATTACAATATGTTTTGACAATTTGACCATTTTCCCAGGCTAACCCCTTGCATTTTTTTTCAAAATATGAAATTTCTGTTTTCAATTACTCAATGACCATCAGAATATCTTGGATTTCATTCAAAAAGTAGTTCTAATTGATTTACGGTAAAGTCAATTTTTGGTCCAAATTTGATCATTTTGCCAAGCTAACCCCTTGCATTTTTTTCAAAATATGAAATTTCTGTTTTCAATTACTCAATGACCATCAGAATATCTTGGATTTTATTCAAAAAGTAGTTCTGATTGATTTACGGTAAAGTCAATTTTTGGTCCAAATTTGATAATTTTTTTTCAAAATGTGCAATTTCTAGCTTCATTAAAATTTAGATCTACATAACTCTATGACCTTCATAATATCTTGGATTGCATTCAGAAAGCAGTCTTGAGTATTTGACAGAAAAGTTATTTTTTTTGCCCAAATTTAATGTTTTTGCAAGGCTAACCCTTCCAATTTATTTTCCAAATTCCATGAAGAAATGAAATTTCTGTTCGAATTAACAACTGCTATGCCAAATTTTATTTTCTTTGGCAATTTGTTGCTAAAATCCTTCAGGAATGTTCCCAGATGTTTCCGGATTCACAATTTGAACATGAACACATGCAACCTGAACCATGTTTTCCTGGATTTACGTCAGAGCAAAAGCGCCCTCACTTGTCCAGAAATGCTTTGTCAATTTTTAACGTTTGAAAAAGTGCACCAATAAGTTCACGAAACTCAAACAAGATGTCAAACAGTCTTCATACATGGAAGAAGAGTACAGAGATACACAAAAAAGTGATTCTAGAAAAATCCATATCCTGGTTCCTTTAATCATTTAGAGCTGTAGTTAACACACTTTGTTTGTTGTAAAAATTGAAGTTGCCACTACACTCTAGACTTGCTCCTCTAGTGAAAAGTTCGATCTGCCAATTAAACTTATACCAAACAATGAGACTTCTTTCATATCTGTAATTTAATCAATTATACACGAAGATGAATCGAGATTCTATCACTAGAAGATGACAGGAAAGGCGTGCAAATGGAACACAGTTTCAACGGGGTTTCAATTGCTTGTCAAGAATGCATTCTCAATGCTGCATATCTGGAGGCGGAATGTATAATTTCCATGTGGAGTCCCGCAAAAAATTATCGTTTCGTAAACACGGTAATGCCAAATGCCAAATGGAAGCTCCTAACCAACGTTGTGTATGAGAGAGCAGTTGGCAGCTGGCCATTTCGACATAGCAGAGTCAACTTCAGCACCTCATCGTAAGATAGCCAGAACCACGTTCAGGAATCCGGTTTGGGGGAGCAGAGTGTTGATTTTTATCCTTGGGACCATCTACAGTGCACAAAATGACAGAAGTTGCATCGAATCTAATGTTTTACAAACGTTGACTATTACAAGAAATATTTAAGTTTTTCAAAGATTTAGGGGACTTAGAAGTGCAGTTGTAAAAACGGCGTAAATGATCAGGAATATGCTTCGGAACTCAAGATTTAAAACGACAAACCTTAAATTTCAATGATAGATCTGTTTTTTTTTTCTCATGACTGAATCATTGTCCAATGGTTAATGTAGAAAGCTAATTTTCATCGTCATATGACATTTCAATCTATTTTTCTTTCTAATAACAGGACACAGACAGAAGTCCCTGTTTATACTTCGCATGGACGGTGCCTTTTAATCCAGTCACAAAGTTTGTTTGTTTTTAACATCCTTAGTTTTAATCCCTAAACTAAGTCTTGTGTTCTTAAAGGACGTGACATCTTAGGCCAAGAAAGTCTTTCGTCTCTGGTCAGCGCGCGTATCGATTTCAAGCATGCACGTCTCAATCCTTTTTCTCTCTGCGAGACCTACAACAGCGCCCTCTACTGCCACACTGCCTCACCGTAATTTTTTTGCAGCTCGATCTTTTACTATTAAGGGCGATAGATCCCGACGAGATTGATGCTGAACAATGACAGCAGACTATAGATAGGAAGTAATTTGCCAGTTTATAATCATAATAATGCTCGTCTAGTCCCATGACTCACCTACGTGTGTATGCAATTATCTATACAACCCAAGATAAGAGGAAAAGGGGAAAAAAGCCACGTCGTGGTATCGACATCGGTCTGTCCAGAGACAAACTATTCTTGGGGGGGGGGCTTATAGAGTCTCAAGTGGGTTTTAGATTTACAAAGTCTATGTAGTACTTAAAGGGTTTCATTCCAAAATGAGATTTACACCATTCAAATATTGAGCAATGTTTCCACAATTATTGAAAATTTTGGTAAGAACAAAAAGAGCTGACACCGTCTCCCTAAATGTCATTTTTCACTATTTCGACTGGATACTCAATAAGTAAAACCCTACAAACTAACTAGAAGCAATCACAAGTAGAGGAAATTCAGGACCAAAATGGCAATTATCTTTGGGGGGGGGGATTCTTCTTTTAAAACCCCCAACTTCAACAAAAAGTTGGTCTAGGCCAGCTTGGACATTGTTTCATCCGGTGGCGCTGGAGTTCCCCTTGCTGTCCGTGGGAATGGTGCTACACAGTGCTTGCTGGCTGGGGGGTTCTCCTGGGTTGGGGCGGCTGCTGGCCCCGACCCTGTTACCGGTGAAGTTGACCTGATCCGAGACGGCATTCTTGCGGAACACCGCTATGATCTGCAGTTCACGAAGAGGAGCATAATACGAGATTTTTCAGACTTCTCTCCTGTTTCTTGATCGTATGGGCTGCAGAAAGGTCACCCTTAGTTTGTATCAGGTTTGCCCTTGTACTCTACATTCGCCCCATTACATGCAAGTTTTATTTCATTTGCATTTGCACTGACGGCTGGTCATTGTTTACGGCCACCCGCAAAAATCTGTGGTGTTGAATGGGAGAGGTCAGACACTTGGAGCTAGAGTTACTATAGACCACTCTCATTTTGCCAACAACCTATATGGGCGGCCAAAGTTTGCGGAAATATCATCCTTTGATTTGATTTTCAATTACCTCATTTCGTCCAAAATTCAAATTTGTCTCATAGATTTTAAGAAGGGTTGTATTTTAATTTAGTATTTAGTAGTACGTGTATTATTATCTGGTGTTCTGATAGCGGGGGGGGGGAATTTAACATCCATTGAATTATCTTTTTACTTTTGTACTGACGGCACACTATAGTTTTCGCAGCCACTTGTAGGAAAAACAGAACTGTGACGTCAAAAGAGCAAAGGAGAATATTGTATTCACGCGGGTTGAATGTTTGTCCCTGGTGCGATGGCATGGAAGCCACGGTGCTTGTTCTCTCTGGATGAGACACTTTAATTCAGCGTCTTGTGGGGATATAGAGCATATTTCACTAATCACCGAACTGTTGCAAAACTGATCTCATGGCCCAGAGTACAGCGTAAATGATCAGAGTAATGTGTGAAGCTGAGTTGGAGGGCACGGGCCTAGATAGGCTCGATAGACCGATTGCGCCGGCTAAGTCATGTGACCTGTAATGGATATCAAACGTCAGCAAAAAGTGTGCTCCAATAGCAAGGGTTTCATATGTGTCGTTTACAAAAAAAACAAATAAATAAACGACAATCACTATACCGAAAACCGGCAGTTTTTGATAAAAAAACACTTGTGACACACTTTGATATGGAAGGACGCCATGTTTGTTGATGTGTGACGCCTGCCATAGGTCACGTGACTTAGCTGGCGTAATCGGTCTATTAAACCTTTATGCATTCGTTGTAACTACATCAAGGTAACAAAGGAAATTACTCCAAGGCGCAGCTGTGCATAAAGAAGGGCTCCGTTGTTGACTGAGACATCTGGAAGTAAATCGCAGAACACTATGCCTACCTTATTGCTATTACCACTATGAGGACGGATATTGTACCTTTATAAAAGTCAAGCTCACCTTTGGTATAAAGAGCATGCACAGACTCATAGTCGTGCAGAGGAGCAGGAAACCAGCCACCAGGGCGTAGGTCACGCCCATAGAGGATACGTTCAAAATGGACAAGGGTACGACAACCACGCAGCATATAACTGTGTTGTATATGGACAGACCCACGTAGTAACTGTCGTTCAGGCCTGGAACATTCACATTTCTGTCCGTTGGAAGATAAATGTTTCTTGATGATGATAACGTCATGGAAATGGTTTATACTTTATCGGCCAATCGATAAAGCCAGCAAGATTACTGGAAGGAGTCTTGTACATTACCAACAGACATTTCGACAATTTAATGTCCGGTAAATGCTTCTATTCGACTAAGATACATGGTGTCGAGGCCTTTTTTTTCTTGGGGAAAATCAAAAGGGAGGTAAGATTTTATGTTAATTTACACAGACACCCATAGTCATGTTCCTGGAGTCAAATTAACCCACTGCAGGTCCGTTAGCCGTAGCTGTCAAGTGACCAAAAACAGAAAGAATTCCTCCCGTTATCGATTATAACTAAAATCAAAATTTTTGTGATTTTTTGTGTGTGATGATGTTTTGGATATTTCCCTGCATGCCGCATGATTCTGCCATCTTTCCTTCGGTTTTTTTCATCTGTTGCAAACATGGACTTGGACATTGCCACTTTTACAAAAACCTTTGCAAAAGGTAAAACGAGAAACATCTGAGGTGGTCGTGGTGGCCTAAACATTTCTAAAGAAAGCCAGAATAAAACAAACGTCAGGGAAAGACCAGGGGAGGAAATAGAAAATGGGCTTACCTTGTTGACCACGCCAAGAAGGCGCCAAAGACGACGACAAAGGCCTTGTAAATGATCAAGGCCATAGTCCATATGGTGTCATAGGTGGAGGTGCATTTGACGTGTAACTCTACGAACTTCCTGTACAAGGCTACGTCCTCGTCCGTCTGCGGGCATAAAACAAGCACAAGACTTACGGTGATAGTCGCTTATTGTGAAAGCAGGGATGAGTTATCCAGTGACCACTGTAGGTACTACGTAGGGCCTACCGTAACATTAAGGAACCAATCAAATATTTGAGTCCTAGTTTGCTCACCAAAATGCCACAAGTGCCAAAATACATATTAGGCTTTTTAACGTTAAATTCAGTGTATTTCTTTGATTTTTTCGATTTAAGGGAAGCTTAATTCACACGAGCCAGTGCCCCACTTAGCACAGTTTAGCGCTGTGAAATGCAAGACCGCATCGCTGACCAGCCCCTATGAAATAGGTGCTGGTAACTAGTGCGCTGTAGGATGGACCACTTGCGCACCTCCCTAACGCGTATCGAATGCTTCACCTGGCCATTGGTGATGATTGTAATAGTCTGTCGAACAAAACTTTGCACCAGAGCCGACAATTTGATAAAACATGCCAAGTTGGAATGAATATAGGTCTAGCCAATGGCAAGTCCCTGTGAACACGCCGGCGTCCACTGCAGATCATCCGGCCAAGCCAAGGCGCGAGTATTGGTTACGTACGTTGTATGTTACTGCTGGTGTCACTACGTATGACCCGCAGTTCGTAAATAACTTTAGAAATGAACGGACTTGTGACGGAAAAATCGACAGCCCTGGTGTCAAGACACAAAAAGAAGTGCCAGTGGCCGGCATGCGATCAAACTGTGAATAGGCAGAGAAGCCCATTTGATATTGCCGGACAGATTTAGAAACCGCAACTAAGTTATGGCTTACTTACGCAACTACACAAATTCATTAGGACAAAAAATTCTGCATAATTGTCTTCTGAGCATGATCATTTTGATGTCGCAGCTCGGTTATCGGGAATAACAGCAAGCGGATAAGTCACACCATGCAGGGAGATATTACTGCTACATGCTGCTTTTAAGAAATTGGGTTCAAATCATTTTGAGAGATAAATCTTGACAAATCGGACTATCTTTCGTTCATCATACCTGCGGAACGGCAACCTTTTCCGTCACGACCTGCATTGGGTCGCTGATCTGCCAGGGAATAAGGATAGCCAGATCGACAAGAAGCAGTACACCGATGATAATGAAGAGATGGTGGTCTTTGATAACCTGCCGGAGTAGGGAGGGAACAAATTTCCAGGATGCAGTAAAGATTCATTATTCGTCCCCGAAGACGATAGTTCATTGAGTCAGAGTCATTAAAATGTTCTCCTGAGAGGACATTCATCTCCAGGAAGGGAAACTGATTTGAGGCTTCGTGACAGACTAAAACATTGGAGGCTCACAGTGTAAGTTATCCTTGCTTGATTTGTAATTTCAATCAATTTTGGAAGTGGATGTCGTTGTTTATATAAACAGGTATCATTTGTGTCCAATGCACGAGCAGAAGACCTACTTCTTATTCTGGATTTACCACCGGTCCTCGAACTTAAACACTACCCAGTAGGAAACTAGATTGAACGGCCCGATAGTGTTTACATATGTTCCTTCATTTTCAGCCATAGGTTCTACGTTTTGACTGGCTGTGAGCTGGCATTTTGGCACTTATTCGCTCCATTTGGTATCTTACTTTTCAAGGCCAAAAGAACTACAGCATACACAGAGATTGCACGCGTGAGCACCGGCATTGTGTGTAAAACACACAATTGGCCTGCGCTGTGCGCATTCCAAAGCTGAAGAGGGGGTTCAAAACATTTCGTGAAGAGATTATTTTGGAAAAGTGGTACTTTCCAACAAATTCCTCTGTCAAAACGCTGTGCTTTATACATGTATTTGCATCAAATCATTCAGTTAACGCTTTAAATCAAACAAAATTTGAATGAAAGTTGTTATAACAGAAATACTGAGCACTTTATCTTGTGGCGTAAAGTAAAATGAGCCTCACTTGGTGATCCATGGAGCATTGTATTTGCCTTCGCTTCATCTCAGGAAAAGGGAATGCTCAATGGATTACCAGGGGCGTAGTGAAGGCATTTTTTTGGGGGGGGGCTGTGCCAGAGTCACTCTGCCGACTTGTAACTTGTTCGCCAACCTCGTGTCCTGTAGAATTCACAAAGTGCAGAATATGGAAATCCGTGGTACGCAACATTTCATGCTTCACAGGAAATGCTGACGGTCAACATATATCGCTTATGTACCAATTTTGGATTCATTTGCCGACCGACGCTTTATGAGGGGGATGGTGTGCCCCCCCCGCACGTCCCGGGAGGGGAACAAGTTTTACTACACCATTTGAAGCACTCAATATGTAAATGACATTCACCAGTTGGTTTGTGTCGTTTAAGGTATCCGTACTGTAATTCACCTTTCGTTTGGTTTTGTTGTGGATGACAATGCTGTACACTCGCCACATCTTGGTGAACATCCCCCCAAATGCAATGGTAAACGCCAAGGCCAATCCCCAGGATCGAACCTGAAAAAAAAAAATCCAGGTGCCAACACGGAGGTTTGTCACTGTACATCGTGAAGCCAATGTCTCCTGTCTTCCCCATTACTTTTTATACAAAAAACCTGCTCTCATTTGGGACTTCACAGTTGTTAGAGTTTCCTTGATGGTCAGTCAATGAGCTATGAATCTGCACAACACCTGCAGATCTGCTCTGCACACTCCCTCTGTTCCTTTTCACATTCTCTACTAAATTAACTGCAAATTACCAAAAACCATGGACGAGACACATTTTCAATCCAAGATCTCTTCAAAAGAGAAGAGGAAGTAAGCTTTCTGTGTCTTAGATATTGTCCTCAGTCTCAGTGGAGGCTTTGTAGAGTCTCAAAGACCGTTGGACAAGTGCATCCTCTGATAATCACCCCAACATCACACACGCAAGCCTAAAAGCACTGTGCGCTCGCTTTTTTTTTTTTTGGTAGAGCATTTATGTTGATTTTGAAGTGCATAAAGCTGACGGTTTTTTTGGTTAAAGGTCTAAGCAATCGTCAAGTCCTTGTGTCGTCGTTACATCTTTTGACAGAAGGTCGTTGTGGCCATCAGCTTAATTTGCAGTGGCGTATCCAGCTTTTGGTGTTGGGGGGGGGTTGGCATTTTGCTTAATGTTGTGGAGAAAAAAAAATTAAAAGCCTTACGGTCCCGACATCCTTGCTTTTATTTGCCGGTGTTGTTTTCTTAAGGATTTGGTGCTAATACTTGATAAATAAGCATACCTATACTTTCTTTCCTACTCATCTTTTCTTTTTCAGTGGCGTACCCCCGTGGGTACGCCACTGTTAATTTGGAAATCGATGTTAAAAGCTATAATTTCCTTCCATTTCACCGAGGTACTCTTGGGCAATCAATCTAAATCCAAAATATTTCTTAATGTGTTACTCTAAACATCGAATTGCAACCGCCGCTTGTCAAGGCCAGCTATAGCCTTGAATCGGGTGCAAATATAAAAATCGGCGGTACGTGTTACTGTTGCAAACTCCTTTCAGACTTCAAAAATAAAGCAAATTCAATGCAGAACAAACGACTCCATCCCTTTAAGAACTGCAATCATGCCATAGATGAGGCTGAGTTTGCTCATCCCTTATAAAAGCACGATGACACGGGGAGCCCGTAAGCCAAAAGAGGTTAGGGGAGCCCAGCGGGTTAGATATAATCCACCTTTGGCCATGCATGGATGGGGTTCGAAGCTTGTTCCCAGAGGAACACAAAAACAAAACGAAACAAAATCTCGAGGCGTGTAGTCCAAAGCTTGTAACGCTCATGATGCTTTGCCCTATTTGCTGATTATTGACAAAATTAAGTGCGACTTGACTTGTACGAGACCTTTGACCTGTACGAGACCGGGGTTTTGCCATGCTCTCAGATCAAAATGGCTTGTGACTTGACTCCATCTGACCTGTAACCAAATGACTTGGGACCAAATGACATGTGACTTGAATTGAACTTGCACTGGAATGACTTGGTGCCAATGCTGCTCACTGGCAAAATAGTTAGGAGGGCTTACCGTGCAGAGAATCTGGAACGCTTTGTCCTCGACCAAGGAGCGATCAACTCCCATGAGAGCCACGCAGAGGTAAGCCAAAATGATACCAACGGATATCAGATTGTTAACGTTGGGGCTGGACATCTTCACTTGCCTTTAGAATAAAATCCGCAAGGAAAGGCGGGAGAATAAAAAAAAAAGATTCCAATGCTGATAGTAAAATGTCCTATATGGTCAAGGCTATCCTGTCGGTAACCAATCAAGTGGATGGGACCTTTTTTCTGACTTATATTTTTTTAATTGGTTGCGCCACATACAGACCAGAATGGATGATACAGGCTTCACATAAGAATGTAATTGTCGTGCATAGATCGAGCAAACTGAAAAAGAGAATCAGAAAATGTGCTATGGACCTTTTTCACCCACGTGACTGGATTGCGCTAAATGTAAACAATGCCACCATGTGCGGACCGCCGTGGCCACGGTGATCGCATTATATTCCTACCGGCAGATTCAACCACGTACAAGCGCACGTGTGAACGCTGCATGTTTGACTGGTTTATCTTGAATAGGTAGATTACTATCACAACAGTATGCGCTCATTACCATGACAACACATCAAGGTCCAGATCGTGAAATCACGGGGAAAAGGTCTATTGGCATTGGGCAAAATGTAGGGTGAGGCAAGCATGCCTAGTCCCTCGGCAGGCCTTAACTGATTCTTCGTTGCCGGGGTTGTCATTTTAAAAGCTAACGCACGTTTTTGAGCAGAAAGAATTTGAAGTTAACAATTTTAAAGCAAAATATAAATTGAAGAGTCTCGATACGCAAATTTCATATTCAATTGCTGTAGTCGTCGTCCCACGCATAAGAGACACGCGAAGAATGGAAAACAAGCTCACAATAGGGATACAGCCAGAGGTGAAACTCGATATGAAAGTCGTATTTCTGACTACAAATATTAGATTAACCATGATGCCTATTTGCTTGCATGTAAGAAACCTTGAAGTTTCAGAAATGAGTCGTGCAAAATAGCATAAATCAAGTCGATGATAATGATTCGATTCTGGAATCTGCAATGCAAAAAAAACTGAATTTCGGGTTTTTTTTCTCATTTAATTTGAACAGATGTATGCTTCAACATTAATAACGGGTCCCACAGAAGTTTTTTTTGAGTTACCAAGTATAAAATCCATTAACCTTCGAGGTATTGAATGTGTACTTGTTTTTCTTTTCAAGAACAGGCCTATTTACCTATTCTGCCGTTTCCAAACATTGAAAGCTATGAAGGAAATGGCAAAGATGGTTCCGAGACCACACAAGACCCAGACCGTCACCAGGATAGCGATGGGTGTGGACTGTAGGAGCTCTTGTGTCTCGGTGTTGTCAGAATCAAACGGAGCCTTGCCGCCTGTGGGGACGGAACAGGTGTGGGGAAAAGTATGGAAAGGTCATGGGCGTCGCCAGGATTTTAAAATCCAGGCTTTAGGGTGGGAACTGCAAAGCACTCACCAGCAAAAACAACAACAGCAGACGGAGCTAGGGTAGGTTAATTTTGAGATAAAGCTGGTAATTTTCGTCTCCTTTCTCCTCTCTTTTCCCCCTTTTTCAGCATTTAATTCTGTCCTTTTTTCCCACTTCTGTTTTGTTTTCAAGGGGGTCAAGCGCCCTATGACCCCAGTGATACCCTTGGGAAAGAAATTCAAAAGAATCCCCTGGATCCATTTATTTTAATTGTCAAGTTGCCATAAAACACCAACACCCTCTACAACTGTATTCATAGTTTTTTGCGAGCCCTTGCTTCCTGCATACACTCTAAAAACACCAGGGTCAGGCTGACCCAGAATCTGGGTCCCATGAGTCCTGACCTTTTTCCGGGTCAAATTATGACCTATTCCGGGCTATATTGGACCCAGAAAGGGTCAAATATGACCCACCACGGGATCATAACTTTACCCGGAAATGGGTCAGGCCCCATGCGACCCAGATTCATGGCCAGCTCGACCCAGGTGTTTTGAAAGTGTACACCACAGCCATTAATAATAATTTGATGCCCAGATTTTCGAGAGGTAGATTATTACCTAGGGTCGGCAGCGACGGCAAAGAAAAGGCAAAAAACACTCCGAGAAGAGTCAGCGCCATGAACAAAAATTAAAGCGATAACATGCTAAAACAATACCATCAAAACTGTGACGGTCTACCAGACGTCCCTTTTGCGACACAAGTTCCTATCGTACAACTTCCTTTTACGTGATTATGAGTATCACATTTTAAAGGGCACTTACAATAATAGGAATCTTGCATAATTATATACAACCCGTAATACCAGTGACTATGTAAGAAGCTTAAAAACAGAAGAAGAAAGAAACCCCTGTCTCAGGGGATTCTTACATTGTGGAAGCAGCCTTTGGAACCGGAAGCCTGTTCGCTCCTCGCTTTGTTGTTTTTTCAATGGGCATAATTCACATTTTGATTTTTCAATACAATTATCATTTAACAACATAAAAATGCCGAGAGATAAAGTGCAGAGCTTTTGTGGTATGTGTGAGCAAAGTTTAGCTTCACTATGCGCGGTCAGGGTCTCTGCTATAATTCAATTACATGCAGAGGCCTACCTGGTCTTCGTTGTGGCTTGCAGCCTTACCTGCATAATACCAAATGTCACTGGTGTTGAGCAGCCAGGAAATTACGTTATTGTCTATGTCGTAGGTGCCTATTACCTCCTCTACTCCGTCTGAAAGTCCAAAAACGAGTTCAAGTATTAGGCTGGAAAACGTTTACCTCTGTGTATATCGCCTACGGGTATCGCTTCAAATCAAGATTATTTGGACTTGGAGGTCCACGACTTTATGATTTGACTCCATGTATATTTTCCCTTCATGGCCTCTAAATGTCACAACAATAAGCCAAACATGAGTGAACGCCTGTTTTGAAAATAGTAATACCTCTTCGTGATTGTATCCCGGACAGCAAGGGATGAAGTCGGCGGCAGAGCAGAAAGCAAGGTTTGGCACATGCACGCCAGTAAATACTGGGATATAATTTAATGCAACCAGTGAAGGCTTAATGGTTTGTTTTTGTTGTGAACTATAATCTTCCTACCTTCATTCTCTACACTTTGTGATTTTCTCTTTCTTGAAATCAAAAACCGATATTTTTGAGGTTCACAGATGAAAATAACATGTTGGGTGGCGCAACCGAGATCCATATTGCCACGTCCGTTTCATTCTATAACTATGACTCAATCAGGGATGACTCAATTTATACTTTTATAGTTTGAAATTAAAAAAAAGAGATGCTTTCTTTACTCAAATTCTCAAATACATCACCACACCACGCTTTCTTTACTCAAATTCTCAAATACATCACCACACCACCCACGCCCCTTAACAACGTCAATGCTCTTCTCAAAGAGACTCACTTTTGTTTTGCTCAATGAGAAGGGTTCCAACTCTATCACCAAGCTCAGAAAAACCAAACGGACCCTATCGAAAAAATCAGTGATAAAATAAATGCAATCAATAACAAAGTTTTACAAACAGGATGGTCAACATTAATCACTGATGGTACTGTCGTCGTTTACACACTGTCTTTATCACTCGGAGCGCCGCTGTTTGTACACATTCAATAATGTTTCAGATCGCGGTAGCAATGATGATACACAAGACGAATCTTATTTGTATGTGTCAATTTTTAGTGCAAATGGCAATTAGCATTAAAATCCTGTTTAAATAGTAGTTAAAATGTTAAAGCCATTCTTTAGAAAGGTTGCTAAAGGTATTTTTCGTTGACGGGAATGGACTGCATACCCCCAAAATAAGTGAAATTCAAAACAAACCAAAACATTGGGGGAAAGAGCGACTGAAACCCGCCGAACATGGCTTTTATACTCTTATGCAATTCTGTGCATTCAAGTGACACAGTTTAATTAATCTGTCAGCATTTTACATTATAAATGTCAGTAAGCTCCCGACTTACCGAGACGCCTTGAAATTTCTGGCTTTGGACGTTGCGGCTAACGATGTCCGCGTACTCCTTATCGCCGTAAGCGAAGGAATCCAGCGGCCGGCCCAGCTCTTGTTGGGCGTCGTGTAAGCCGAGGGCCAGCGCCCACATCCCATCATAGGCAGTGGCGGTCAGGCCACGACCTGACACGGACAGGTTCCAACCGACCACGGGTTCCATTTGCCGCCGGTATTCTGCGGGAGTCTAACATAGTAACCAATTAAAATAACATAATGGAATGAAGTTCCATTAAATAATTTAACTCCGAGTCGACGACGTCATCCATAAATGCCAAGCATAATGAGTTCACTACAATAAACCTGTTGTTATCAGATTTTAACACTTTTCACCGGTGTTAAAACTTTTGCCGTTATATCAAAATTGTTGGTATATACATGTACTTTTAACACCCTCTGGTGCAATGTAATACTTGTATAAAGTAACGCCAGAGATTTGAAATTAACATATTTCTGTGTGGTCATCTGATCACACCAAACTTAAGTGTTTTTTTTTTTTACATCAGAGATTTTGCAGCTTTGCAGGAGTTCTCTTGGCTTGGATGGGTTGCATGCTTTTTATGTTTTCGTGACACAAAGGAAGCCAGGGTGTTCGTAGGCAATTGATCTCTGCCACGAGGTACACGATTCCGTCGCTTTGAAATTACAATTTCCCTGCCAAAACCAATTTGGGTGCAACATCTCAAATTCTGTCCAGCAATCAAACGAGAAACGTTGTACCCTTTGGATTGCAAAAGTGGTTAGTTCCTCTCTCTATTTCAATCAATGGCACTACTGTCCAATGAATTGGAAAGCAGCTACCTTTCACGCAGCTCCATTAATCTACTCCAGTTTCATCTAGTAACACAAAAACTATGCGGTTCAACCCGGCTCAGCAAGAGGTGAAAACCAGAACCGAATTTCCATGGGTTAGATAACAAGGGAATTCAACACCCTCTTTTATTTCTTCATATAATCTTAACGGTCTTCCTGATGTGTAAGGCTAACTTCGTTGAGGAAAAAGGAAATAAAACTGTACCAAAAGTCGTCCAGTCTTTGATAAAAAAAATGCAGCAACCCTGGATCTGTCAATCTCAGGGTAAATCTTATGGACATGTCTGTGAGAAACGTAATTCATTTTTATTAGTCTTTGCGTCATGTTAATAAATATGTCACAAGGAATATTTTCCAGGAAACTTTTCTGTAGCAGTGACTGCAAAAATAAACGAACCGTAAAACAAACGACACATTGAAACGCTCGGCAAATATTACACCTCAATACTGTCCGCTATGTCAACGCTATCGGTGAAAATGTTTTCCCAAGAGCAAACACGGGGCCGAATATTCCGATCAAGAACTCCAATTAGAGAGCTTTCCTGAATTCAGAAGCAACATATCAGGGGCGCGCGGAGTTATCTCTGATGTGTCGTTGAGCGGTTAAGAAAATATGCGTAATTTGACTGAGACACCGGGTTTCATTTTCTGAAAAGTGTCAATATTTGGGCGCCAACTGTCACTCACCTTCTCTGCTCCTGTTTTGTTTACAGCGCCTCAACTATATTATTCAGAGATATACCCAGACAAGTCCATGAAATGCTGTGAACACACACAGCTCTCTGCGTCCCACTTATTTTAAACTCGTTTTCACTTTTCCTGCCATTTTATCAGCATTTTGGTGCCCTCTGGGCAATACTACATTTGCCTACTTGCGATGTTTGGCAAAAAGCGTAATGTCATTCCAAGAAGAAACAACAATGTTGTTACTCCTTCAGCACCAAGATCTGTTGGTGCATCAGGTATTTTTAAATAAATGTCCATCTCAAAAGAGGCACACACCTTGTGGCACGACTATCATTCGCCAGAACTCAGATTCACCCTTAACTCACGATGCAGTAGCCTACCACGCACGCGTGAGAGCGAGGAGCTAAATTTAACGTCAGATTGCCATCAGCAGAATCCGATGAATATCAAATATGAAAGAGCATCAAGCTGAGATTGTAGGCTTAAGGTCAAAATACAGACGGTTTAGAAACAGTTTAACGGTTGGTGTTAATCCTCCTTCGTTCCGTTCATCGCTTGGTTTGGGACAGCTCAACGGTTTGAAAAGAACGGTCTGCCCTTGACTGTCTAGCAGCATATAGCTGCGGTGGCACTGCAGTCACACGCACATTCTTCAGCTTGGTGCGCGTGCATTTGTTACTGAATCACGACAGAAACAGGCAAAGTAACGCGCGCGTACTCCGTATCCGCAAGCGTTGTTGTGCCACCGCAATGATTGCTTCTAATTCTGGTTGTCCAATTACACTATATAAAAATAAGAAACAAAATATGATACTACCCATCAAGGAGCAATCTTAATATTATACCAAAAGGTAACGTGCTTATTTCTGACTTACTATTCCTGCAATGGTGTTGACTTCCTCCCGTCCAAACTGGCTCCACATGATCGTTAGGTAGCCCTCGCTTGCCTTCTTTAGCTCCTCGGGCGTGCAGGTGACGCCCTCCTCAGGTACCTTCCACCAGCCATCGGCGTAGTAGCCGGGCAGCATCCACACGTAACGTGGCCCGTACAGACCTAACCGGTATGCCTAGACAAGGGTACCGACCGGCAGGCTTTTGATAAGGCTCAATTCGGATAACTGAGGGGTTACTGGATATTGGTCACATGAACCTTGTTACCTGTAGACCCTTTTCACCCACTTGACTAAATGTAAACAATCATGTGTGAACCGCCTTGGCCACGATGATCGCATATATTCCTACGGGCAGCTTTAACGAAATGCAAGCGCCCGTGCAAACGTTGCATGCTTGACTAGTTCGTCTTGAATAGGTAAATTACCATCACAACACTATGCACTAAGCACAATCATGACATCACAGGAAAAGGTTTATAGACTACGCTAAAGGTAGCATCTGTCCCAAGTGGGTGAGGATTAAGGTGCAAAGTTCTTCCCCTTCCATTCCAGCAACCCCAAACTATTCACCAAGTTATACCAAGCAAGAAGCGGGACAGAGGGGTACCCCACCCTACATGCCCACGTGTTACCTAAACATCCTCCTAGATAGCCTATCTGAAAAGAATTCCTGAGATTCCGATCAAATAAAACCAGCACAAAGGTGTGTGTGCAAGTGTGTGTGTGGGGGGGGCTCTCTCCGTCCATAATCTTGCTTCAACTGAACCAAGTCGTTTCCACCCTTTTCTGGCATCCTGCCAATATGACCTATTCTTGTTAATTCCAGTTTTAGAGTACGTGCTCTGCCATTAAAGCCCGAGACAAAGAAAATATTTCTTGGTTTATTTCCCCACTGGCTTGGGTTGTAACCAAAGTAATTCAGACGGCTTCCGCTCAAAACGATACAGAAGTTTCCGCTCACTGAGTGACCTTCGTCCGCCCACTTGAAGTTCAAATGAACCTTGTAATTTACCAGTGACCAAAAGAAACATTTAGAGGGAATACACCAGAGGCAATAAATACTTACGCTACAAAACACCTTTCGCACCCGACCTTCGTAGAAATTTGCAGCTATAATCCTGGCGTCTTTGTCCTGTGAAATAAAAATTAAATTGTCTTGGTCCATGTGGAATTCTAATACAATTTCACTCTGTCCCGTGAACGCCATACCTTTAATTTGATATCTAGGTGTTTTTGTTGCTGCTTCAGACGGGATCTCCCTCTGATTATACTTATATTGATCATGCGTGTGGTAGACAAGGGGCTAAAGAAATGCACGTATCCAGCAATCCATCCTGTGATAACCTGGTAGTTTCTGGACGTTATACTTCAAATATGAAATAGCTGGTCGGCAACAAGGAGGCTCCGAATCTTTGGGTTGATACGGGGAGGGAGAAAGTGGTGTATACTTTCGATTATTATTTGCGTATTTCATAGATTATTTGAGTAAAAACAAAATCAATTGGTAAACAAACTTTTACTAGAAACTAAGACAGTTTTGATACAATAAAAACAAAAAGAGCACGTGATCGTGACGTATAAATGAGTCTGCGACCTAAGTTATGACGCAGATTCTTATTGAATTATATGCTCTTTGGTATGTTTCGATTCTTTGATAGGATTCATTTTTAATCTACTAAAGAATGCTATATCAACACACCATTCTTTTGCTTAATCACCAAGTCGATGATACCTATCATTTTGTTTTGAGTTATAGTCAAATCAAATTATTACCAAGTGCAAGAACAACACAGGGCTACGAGACGTTCAAAGTTTCGAACAGTCAGGATTTTACACAAATCGATACTTGTGCCACACCAACAATACCAACCATCTTAAAATTTTACACAAATCGACGCTTTTACTCATGCAGATAAGCACAAAAAATGGCCACCTGCAGGTATGTCTCGCCTCAATATCCCGCATGTGGTGAGGAGTAGTATGTGATCTACAGAACAAAATTCTCAGGTCCCTCTCCTTCCTATTCGTGCGTGTCAGATCACTCCAAGGGGAAATTTGGTAGCGACACACGAGCGCCGACTACTCCCTCCGTTCGTGACCAATGAAAGAATAACTGAATTTGGCTACATCCAGCTATAATAAATCAAGAGTACTCGCTTGAGACAGCTTGCCTTAACTTGTTCGACGAAAATACTCTGATTAATTAAATAAGAAATTTTTGGGTGTTATAGTTATGTGTTGGTTTAAAACATACCTTTAAGCGCTGGACAGCGTCATACGGATTACTCAGAAAGCTCTCGGCAGCAATAACATTCACATTATTGCTTTCAGCTAATCTCTGCATCTCGATTGTAGTCTATTCGTATAATAGATAAAAACAAGTGCGGTTTACTACCTTTGTCGTGAGCTGTCAAAACCTCTATTAAAAGGAAACAAGTAAGAAATATATTTTGACATATCAAAATAACCCTAAAATCCAATAATAGAGACCATGTAGTTTAGGTTTGTTGCACGCCTTTCAACGAGGTTACTTCAAGCATCGGCCTTCTCAACAAAGAAACCAAGCAAGCTGAAAACTACTGTCATGCAAAACAAGAGATGTCACCTGTGTTTTTTAATTAAAGACTAATTCCTGATGTCAGTAAAAACCAAATGATTCCCAAACTGTTACCTTTAATCGCGGCTACTATACTACCATGTTCCTTCCTTGAAGAACAAAAAGGAGCCTTTTAATTAAAGTGAGTTAACATAACTCATGAACTCAAACTTTTAGGGTCTTGTGCGCTGTGAAACATGGCCAGTACCCCAGTAAAATAGGAGAAACTTGATTAATAAACTGCACATGTAAGTTCAATCATCAATTAATGTGCAAAGAACATGCTAGGTATGTGAGGTGTGGTTTTACCCCGACGTGAGGCTCGACAGTCTCGTGTAGTGTGGCGATCTTTATCCAGCCAAACCGGTGAATGATCGCCATTTCGGCATGGGAGAACCCGGCGGCTGACGTCAGCACCCGGTAGATGTACGGGTAGCGGACACGGTCACTTAGCACCGGGGAGGAGCCGGCAGTGGAGACCTAATTGGCAACAAAAAGTAGTTACGACACCACAAGTGACAGTGATCACTTTAAACACTCGTACAGTGGTAAGTCTAAAGGAAGCGCATGATACATGCATGTTTAGAATGCCGACAGTGAACTGCGCATTAGAAATTGACAGTTTAGAGTAAGCTCGTGTTGCTTATCCAAAGGGTTATTTTTTCATTTTTGGAGCCGGAAATGAAAATACATATTCATATTCTCTCTCTCTCTCTCTCTCTCTCTCTCTCCCCCTCCCCCTCCCCCTCCTCGGGAAGGCTTTTGTGATTATAAAGAGGCTACTCAAAACCAGGATGGTGGAAACGGACGACACAAACAGGAAATTATTCCTAACTTGTTGTCTTACTTCTGTGTTCCGGTCTAATTTTGTAATTTAGCCAAAACGGGTTTAAAAAGGCTATTTTGTAATGGAGCCCTGTCTACGTGCCGGCTGTGGCAACCTGATCTGGCAATTGGGAAATTTCAGTTCTTGCTAAGTTGGGGTAACGTCGATCTGGTTTGATACACATCACTATCGTCAAAAATAATCCCCAAATCCAGAGGGTAATCGGCTGCAAGAAGCTGGATGGCGCCCTGAGTTGTACAGATGCATGCAGGTGCATGAATATCGTCCCAAGAAAACACAAACTTCAAGGTGTGTCACTGAATGTTTCACATAATGTAATGATAAATGGCAAACGCTTTCTCTATACATTCCGATTTGGAATTTTTTTTTAAAGGACAGCTTATATTTCAGACAACACTGCACGGACACTGGAGTCTCATGAGCATACCGGTCAGGGTGCAAACTAGTTATCCGACATTATTTAACTTCCCTAAGATTTCTCTTGGTTTTGTTTGTATGTATGTATGTTTGTTTGTTTGTTTGTTTGTTGGGGTGTTGGGGTGTTTGTCTGTTTGTTGAATTGCTTTTTGACGAGGATACGGCAGGCGTGGTATCAAGATGGAAATGCCGACTCTGGGTAAAGCTGGCTGCGAGGAACGGTTAAAAGTCAGAAGCAGTCTCTCAGACTGATTCAGCGGCGACAGGCCAAGACGCACCCCTGAGCGCACTATGAGGTGTCAGCGTCTGCGCGTATCCACTCTTGTCTCATCTTAACCTTGGAGGCGTCAGTACTGATACACCGGAAAGTGGTTATCCAACGAGCCGTTGGGACAGAAGAGAGGGAGAGCACGCGATGGGGAGCAGATGGTGTCGAGCGTGGTATCTACTTTGTATTAAATTGTAATCGATGTGCGCCAAGTCAAGCCTCGTCACTGACGAAGTCCCGGGCAGGTCAATCTTCAGCTGTTTCACGCATTTCATGTCAACAGATTTTTATCTCTACATCGATTCTCTGTTGTCGAAGGCAAATTGAGCTTGACACAGGCTTAGGAATCAAGCGAGACTGCGAACGGCAAGAATAAAAAAGAAATCAACATCATTTTAAAGACAGATTATGTGTCTGCCTAATGTGGACATTGGAAGCAATTGTCTTCTTATTTCGGAGATAATGAGTATCTAACCAACTCATCGAGCTCTTCAGGTCATCCTTGAAATTCACGCTGTGAGATGTTACGAGTACTTTGGACTCAGAGGGCAGGCATATTTCATTTTTAATCCGTTCACGAAGATAAATTGCTTACGCGTAATAATTTCATTATGGGTGACATTATATATGCAATCATCTCTTCTCTGGATTTTTTTTGACCAGGGTGAGTGCACTTAGCTTGCAACAATTTGATTATGAGACTCAAGATGTGACTACCTTAAAACGATTGCTACTTCCATTTCCAACGAATCTAGCTCTTCAAATGTCTGTAATGATCTTTCGAGACTGTATATGGCCCCGTGCTGTTCTGACTCTAAAGATGAAAGTGCACGCGTGCTCGCCTGTTGTTTACTTTGGTAAATGCAGTACTTGAGTACCAAAAAGGGAGTGCCAAAGAGGGAGAAAATATTCTTTTACGAAGGCCTCTAGTGTATTGCCGCACTGAGCAAAATAACGAAATACAGTGTCTCTAGTTACCATGGAGATAGGTGAAGCACTGACCAAGAGTAGGGATGCACTCTCTAGGTTTACTTTAGGGCAAGTGCTAAACTGAAAAGAAGTTTCCAAAACGAGGTTGGCATTTGAAAAAAATGAGAAATCACTGCATTTCATGACTGAAAAAGAATTTACACCGCCTTTCATTATGTTGTTACCTTCATACATCTGCAACAGACGGTAATTTCACCCCTCGAGATGTGGCGACGATTAGGTGTTTTTCTTCAAAGCCCAGCAATGTTAATGTCACCAAACGGAGATTTGTGAAGTTATCTGCATGTATACGGCCGTGACAGAAAATGCCTTCTCCAGCACGGCTGATGGCAAACCTCATTTGAGTCCATTAAGGAGCTCAATGTTATTGCGTGGTATGCCAGTCAAGTTTATGCCTTCGGCCGCACAAGAAATTATTAGTGAGAAAACCAAACTCCCCGTGTTGAATTGTATGACTATTGTTCAATTAATAAAATTCATTGTTGTGATAGATCTTCAATCAGGAACTCTTGAATGATGCTTCCTTTTTTTCAAATTTTAAATTGGATGGATCTGTTGCATTATACTTTTGGACATCGTAGTGTAGGCAGGGGCGGGTCATCGGTTCTCTTTTTACTGCAGAGTTTTGGGGAAATTCCTACATTAGCTTTTGGGGATTTATTATTCATAGTTTGTAGTGGTGATAAGTAGGTATACCTTGACGGTATACGCCTTTTTTAGCAGACCACTTCTGAGATTTCCGTTATGGTTTGCTAAAATGAAACCGTATGGTATTTGTTCTTTACTGCACGATTGGGCTTGAATAACTGTAAACCAAATTTCATATCGTGATAAAAAAATTCCGGTTTACTCAATTAAACAACACTCTGCGGATATGCATCAGCAGCTGACCTCATCCAATAATTTTATTTTCTCCCCTGTTTTCAGTTGGCAATGAATGAGAGACCGAACACAATGTCAACAATGAAAACAAAAGTAATTGTCTACGCATCGAGAAACCGCAAACGTTGGTGGTTTCGATTTCAGAAACATCAGATTAGCCATTGCGTTGCTCGAATTCTTTAAGACAAACCCGACCATGGATATGATTATTCATTCGAGGTGAAACGGGTGGTGGGAAAATTTAACATTGTTCACGGTGTACTATTTGAATGCCGCATGGAGCGTAATTATTTCCTACATTAGCTTTTGGGGAGGTCGTTCGGAAATCTGGCACCAGATTGGGTCTGTAATGGAAACCAACATTTATGACAGAGAAATCCTTTAAAAGTTCTAAAAAAGTATTTGAAACATTTTGGCATTTCATTTCATTTCATTTTATCCCATTCCATTCCCATTTTATTATTCAACATCTTCCTTGTTAGGAGATCACGCATAATCTGTCTAAGACACAAAGTCCAAAATGTAAACAGTTATCATCGCATCAACGAAAATAATGCAAGGTTACCGGTAATCCATGTAGGCCTACATATCGTTACAATGCAATCCAAGCGATGCACGTAAATGGGTCTATCATTAACTGCCCACTGTCACTCAGATCATTCAAAAGTCGCTGCTGATGCCAAAAATGAAAGCTCAACGGAAATCATTGAGGGCCTTAGAAAACGCATTACTGAAATTAATGGATATGTGGAAAGCGGGTATGCGGTCTGTGAAAGTCAGAACTCACCTGGGATTGCCACTTCGTCGACTTACAATCCATCTGACGTATTTCACAATATTTCCCTGTTGGTTATGGTGAGTATAGCTCTGACGCTGTACCCGAGTAATTGAAGGGACCTTCGGACGAGAATTTTCGTCTGGAGAATTTGATTGGATGGATTAATTTCTTTTGGCTTTTTTAGTCCTGGGAAATGACTGGGACCGTGCAAGCCAACTTTATAGATTTGGATTATTCAAAGCACATTGTTGCGTAGAACATTGGGGGAATTCCTGGAAAGAATAACGACTAGGGATTGGTCAGCAATACGTCACTTGTGACCGTTTTCAGTCGAGGCATGCTATACCGGCGGAGTGACACTTCCTTGACACATTCGGTCTCTTGGCGAAGTGGCAACTATTTTTAGGTTTTGCTACAAACGAAGAAATATCATCACATTGTATTAAATTTTGATTGTAACAAATAGCTTTTAACGGCGAGATAATAATTCTTACTTTCAAGTGACTGTTCAATAACTAAGTATGAAAAACAGCAATGCCTTGCGCAATCGGCGTAGAAACTAGAATATCTTGAACGGAAGTTCAATATAATGATGCTTCGTACCAAAATAAATTCCAATTCATCGAGTGTGTTTGTAAAAATATTTCTGTACTTATTATCCAGAGTCAACATTTTGCCATTTTCGTTTTGACGTAAAATAGCTTATTGTAACGTGTAAACCTGCATTTTTCTGAACTCTTTTCTTTAAAAACATCACATTGTAGACATGTTGAGAGGATTTTGATAGTGCTTAATTATGAAACATTAGTGATCAGCACGCAATGCTTGGATGTGTAATCTTTTACAGACTGTCATAAGGTAAATCTTCAATTTCTCTTCCAGATCTCCACCTTGTGATTCACACAACTGTAGGAAAGCAGATGATGAATTCCAAAGTGTATAGACTCAAACGCTGTTTGCGGAAAGAAAGCAAATTATGCGCTCAGCGATGTAGTGATCATCGTCGGGCTTTGGCATGTTCAGCACACAACACCCTTTGTTTGATTATGTTTAACACACGCGCCGAACTTTGTTGAACACTGCACAACACATGGGCGTGTGATTCAAGGGCAGTAATGTGCCGGGCATGCAGTTGAATGATGGAGCGGTGGAAGTGAAATGACATGGCAAAGTAAGCCGCGCTATTAAATTGTGGATCAGGCGAGCAGAAATTTATTGGGCGGATCTGCATCGTCCAGACAGCCTTTGTGGGACAGATAACCAATGTCCGTGCACAACATGCCCTTTTCCTCATCTCAGAATAAGTATACATGCCGACCTGTAAGTTGACTAGAGTAAGTCATGTCTAAAACATCTGACCTGAAAGACACAGAGTATACGTTTTATTTATTATTCATAGTTTGTAGTGGTGATAAGTAGGTATACCTTGACGGTATACGCCTTTTTTTAGCAGACCACTTCTGAGATTTCCGTTATGGTTTGCTAAAATGAAACCGTATGGTATTTGTTCTTTACTGCACGATTGGGCTTGAATAACTGTAAACCAAATTTCATATCGTGATAAAATACTATGGTTTTCTTTTGTTTTCTTTTTTCTAAGACTTGCTTTATCACATTTGACAATTTGGACTTCGTATGTCTACATCTAGGAGTCCATTTTCGTCGTCTTTAATATGCTCTCCCGCATTTTCTTTTTGAAGTGGGGACCGGAGTATGGTGAAGAGGGGCACTCGAGGTCTGTAACAATGCCACCGAAGGCCACCCAACTGCCTCGCAAGAACATGACAAATGAGGACAACTTGTAGCCGGCGAGCCGTAGTTAAGTTAAGAAAAGCACGTCCGTACACTTAGCTCTTCAAACGGCGGAGAAAATCAATGACTGTATAAAAGTTGGGAAGTGTACAAGCCGTTCCGCTTTAGAGCCCGGCAATTTGGTCGAACATGAAATGATTGTAATTCATGGTATACTCTTCATGCATCGTAACTGTATTAGAGTATCACAATAACGTGAAATGCAGATAAAAGATCAAAAGCTTCGGTCTGCTGAATGCTTGACGGGTTGGACAGTCCAGGAAAAAGATTCCTTAAGGTACAAACACCTTAAACAAGTCCACAAGATTCCACACAGGCTTTATTCTGTCGCAGTACGTACATTAAAATATACCCAGGTTCACAAATACAATGAGCCCGTCATAAGTGTAAAAAGAAACAAGACTGGGAAATGAAAATTGGTACTCAGTGCTACTGAATTCAGAGCGCCAGATGGGACCAGGTCCTCAGATTTGCAACCGAAGGCCACCTCTCCACAGATGACTAGTTCGTTTCATCAACGCATTAGAGGGAATGCAGCCCCTTTTTTATTAAGATCCTCGCCAGACACAACGTTACCAAGATTAAAAAACATACACGACTATCTAGCCTGTAATTCTTAGTGCTTATGTAACATTTACAAGAAAGCGCTTCACGTGAAATTTATTTCTGTCTGTCTCCAATACAAAATATTTTTTATTCAGGATGGAAAAACGGAAGGCTACGCACATTGGATAGGAGAAAAATCACGTCAAATCGACTGGCGTATTGTGAGCTGCGAAATGGAACAGGTGCAATGTTCGAGTTCTTCAAAAGCATTATTGCAATTGGTATTAAATTCTAATCACAAGAATGCAATCTTCGTCCGACGTAGTGGAAAAGTGTTGTTGATAAAGCCTTGTGTCAATATTATCCGGGAAGGTTCCGATTAAATAGAATGTCCCTTTTCCATTTGCTCGTCCGTAATTTAACCTGTCCATGGAAATATAAATGCAAAAGGAATGTTTGCGAAATTTACAGCTGCAGTAAGTCGGCGCAGTTCGTGGCTGGGGTGCCAAGGTCTGCAGCACGATATTGGAATTGCTTCTGTTTTATGAAATTTCGACATGAGTCACGTAAAGTCCTTGGTAGTAGTCTACGTATCTGCATGCTATGCGCTTTATTTCAATAACATCCTTGAGAGTGATTTTATTACAAAGGCTGATGCACATCGATATCCTGATAACATTCTTCTTTTTCAACGGTTGGAGACGCCAAGCTGAAATAACTGTTATTTCTTGTCTGGTTTGTGGGTTTGTTTACAAATGTCCTCAGAGAGCATGTGCTGGGAATCCCAATTTGTGCCTTCTTCTGCCCCCTTTTTTTGATCACTATTGTTTGCTTCATGTGGCACACAAAATAAGATTTTTCATTTTCCTCGAATGATGGTGATCTTGAAGGAGCGAGGAGCACCAAAACCTTGAGACTGCAATTTAAAGTTAATCTGCAAGTTGACGTTGCTGTAACTCCAGATTCTAATCGTCACTCGATAATTGCGCGTCTGCTCGTGAATTTCCTTCCAAGTACGTGTCATCTCCTTGCAGCAAATTTTGCGATGCATTCTGCTCTAATTGGCTTTTTCGTTTTGAAGGCGGAGTGGTTTTTACTTGTCACAACAATGGAGATTAAACTGCCGCAGAGACCTGATCGTTTCTTGAAGAGTTGCCGTGAGATACCAGCCATTGCTGCCACTGCCCCCCCCCCATTGGCGAGCACCATTATCGAAAAATGATGTAAAACAGCAAACAAACTCAATTTCGTTATGCGTTATGTCTAGTTATTTTCAAAATCATGAATAAATAAAGGCTAAAATGGCCCGACAAATGGATCGTGGTTCTTATGTTGACGCTTGCATTAAGTGACTAATGCACGGCCAAGGATGGCAGTAGAATTGAGAGAGTGTGTCTTAAGCGTGCTGAAACAGTGCATTCAGAATTTATGAGGAAAAAGACGGAGGCGCATAACTAGGGGTATATGAACTGTTAGCGGACATTTGGAACGGTAGGGTTACAGAACACATAAACGCCTCGAATGAAACTAGGTTACACCCAGCAAGATATGGGACGGAGGGGTACCCCCCTTACTTGTCTGATCCAAAACACACTCTAACTATTGTTACTTAACACACCATCCTAGGTGTATGAAAAGACTTCCTGAGATTCTAATCGAGCAATGACCAACACAAAAGTGTGTTTGGAGGGAGGGGTGCTCTCCACTCTTGCTTCAAATGTGATATATTTTATCTGACAAACTTAAGCCGTGAGCATCTCACACCAACATTCTACTGTGTACATAAATGAAGGTTTCCTGAAACAGCCGTATAACGGGGAAACATTCGTGTCTCGTACAGCCTCACTATTCCAAGTGGTCCCCAATGTCTTTCCTTGTCATTGTAAACGTATTCGTATACACAATTATGAACCCTCAACCACCATTTGTACATCAAGCGAGATACACAACTCAACTTATACTATTTTAATGGTCAAATTATCGGTCTGACAGGTAATTTAAAACTTACTGTTATCCACTGTTACTTCCATGGGCATTTATTTAAAATACAATATCCAGTCCATTATTGAAATAATTTAGTTAGGCCTATTCCTTCGAGTTATGATGACAACCAGTACGATTTAGATTTCGATATCTAATCTGAGGGAGATCTGCGTGACAGGACTGAGCGCTTTTAGCGAGTTTCAACCAGTCAGCGATATTTTTCATTGTGATGCCTGCACAAAAACGGAATCAACGAGTGAATGGCAGAGTTAACGGCTTAACGGTGACTCCTCAGAGTCTCTGTATGTCAGGTGGTTTCCACATACACTTCCTATTTAATACATGCAACATAATCTCAATGATGAATAATACACGCAGGGCATTTGATTTGATACAGCACCACGACTTATTCAGCTAGTTATAGATGCAATAAAAAGGTATTTGAGCATCGGGCAGATTAATGCCGTAGCAAAAGGGCAAAAAGAGTGTTGAACATGTATACAGTGTCTCCCCTAAATGTTGCACTTTGCAGAGGCTACCTTCCACCCCAAATTTTGTTTCGTATTATTAAGAGAGTGTGAATTTAATCCATATCACAGACTTCGTTTGGAACGACTGAACAAAAAGGACATTTACCGGCGGCCAATATGGCTAATACTTCACTTGAGGTGAATATTCTATAGGTTTTCTTCCGATGCAGTTCAGACAACGGGAAACTGCAAAAAGGCCTTAAGTGGGTGTAGTAAAATGATAGGTCGGCAAAAGGACTCACACAGGTGAATGTAATATACGCAAATTTTATTGCTCAAAGTGTGTAGAGCGATGGAAGCTTAGTGAAATCTGCGCTCTGAAAAGGTGACGATTCTTGGCATTTGACAAGTGACACAAAACAACATACCATGATTTACGGCAAAGATGGAAAATCTGGAGGTATATATCATTTGTATAACTCACATTGGTATAAATCTGCCTCGACAACGCGTGCTCGATATGACCTGCGAAGATATTTAGGAGTGTCTTTCTTTTCGGCATTTGCCAAAAGTCACACTGCGCCAAGCGGTTCTTGTAGAAAGGCTGCATTCGACACTCAAAGTCCTACCGTTTTGAAATGCCTTAATACAACGTGAACTTCCAACTTCATTTGACTTAATTTTTAATGACCCAGACTCTCTACAAGATAGGCCTATAGCATAGGCACATCGTCACTATGTCTGGAGAAACCAATTTCCGTGTACAGCCCATATACACAGAATAATGAGGATATCAGGTTTACAAAGATTCACTAAGTTCTACCTTTGGTTATGTAAGATTTCCCTAATTGTTCAATTGTAGCTGTTTCTGAGATGTTTCAGTGGAAACAAATGAAGTGAATTAGAGTGAACAAACATCTTGTGTGCAAGTCACTGTGTCTCACCTCCACAAGTTTCCAGCGGCTGGCAACCTCCCCGACGCTTTCCGTCACCGAGGACAACACCGATCCCATCAGCGCTACTTTGACGGGTGGCGTGTAGATATGATCGTACAGCATGTTCAGTGCAGTCACCTTATCCCCCTGCAGGGAGTGAGAACAGATTTCACTTACAGCCTGGGGACTTGTCGAGGGGGAGGAAGTCAAAAGCACTCTGGAAAACAATAGATTGACTATATTGGCTGCTCCACTCGCCCTGCAGCTATATAAAGCGGTTTCCGATGACAGTAGCTAAATTTTGCGAGGCCTCAGAGAAATAACGGGAGGTAATTTAGGGGGAAAGGGAAGTAAGGAAGTGGAACGAGAATAGATGAGAATGTCTTGTTCTTTGCGCAGCGTTCTAAGGATTCCGAACTTTGTATCAGCCGCTGAATGATGCTGAAGTAATGAGATTGAGTGTACAGTAACGACTTGATTTATGAACCCGAGATGAAAGGACTAGACAGCCAGTAGAGGCCTGCGACTTAGCTCCATTAACCCTAACAATCCTCAGTCCTCCAACAGGTGAAGGATTGGGGACTGTTAGGGTTAAAGTACATGCTTCACCAAAATAAAACGCAGGTTTGGACCGTATTACTAATTATGTTCCGGTTCCTGCAATAGTGAATGATTATGGAAGGTGATTAATCAAGGTTTGGAAAAGCTTGGAAAACCAAGGAAAACCGAGGAACTAGTTCAGCACCCCGTTTAGATGGCTTCTGTGCCCGAAAAAACAAAAACCATAATTCTATAGTCACACCAAAAGTTGGAAAGAAATTATTCTGAGCTTATCGACTCGGCAAGACCCCACGAAGCTGTTTCACTTGAACTATTTAAAGCGGTTGTTTCTCATTTTGTGCCTTTATGAGACCCCTGATCCCTTTACTCAATTCCTGCGAATGGTTTTAATTAGCACGTCCATTAAATGCAGAAAAAAAGCTTACGAATTTGAGGAAAACACTAAAAAAATTAAAGTCTCTGTCTCCTTTTAAACAGGTTGTATATTATGATGAGACTTTAACTTTCGCGATGCTGATCACGAAAAATAAGATAACGACATAGGTATACCTATAGTTTCTTGACAAAAATGTGAGTAACCCCAACCTAAAAAGTATTCAATGAAGTTTTCTTTGACGGTCAATTACGCATGACATTAGTTGTGTAGATTCAAAAACCAAGCTCCTGTCAACCCATTTCCTTTTTGAGGTACTCTGCAGACTGCGCACACTTATGTTCACCCACCGCTGCCGGTGTGCATGGGTTAGTGCATGGGTTAGTATGGGGTCGCGTATGACGGGTGAGCGGTGTTCTAGTCGCCTCTCCTGCGTCTACAGCTTCGAAGTTTGACCAGACAGTGAAGAATCATAGCCAGTATTCGATACTTGTGGATGTTGTGTTCTCACATGGAGACGCAACACGGCGTGTTGCCAACACAGTATACGCATAGCGCGCAACATAAGCCGTTGAAAACATATCTTAGAGGAGTTTTTCTGGAGATATGCCCCATGTATATATTTACAAAGGACATTGGTCATGATATAGATGATAAAGCGAAAAGTCATTTTATGCAACATCGTCATTTAGTGTTCACAAAAGCCAGTACTGATTCTTGATATATCACAAAGCAATTTTTATCAATACCATTTAACCCTACTGAATTCTATACATTCGAATATCAATTCGACTTTAGGTTATGTAGCCTGATAACTTGCAGCCACAGAATGAAATCACAGTGTGAACCAAATTTAAGTTCTTGAATTTGGCTTTTAAAAAATGTTGCCAGCTAATTGAGCATCGGGATGGCCTTTAGTTCAGTGCTGACTTCACCGTTATGCGTTTCAAATTCTTGGGAAACCTCCGGATGCAAGAATTTCATGATTTTTGTTTTTACAGGTACAGAGGAAATCAATGAATTTCACTGCTCGAAAAAGGCCACAGCTGCATTAGATGACTGAATAACAAAAGAATTACCCAGACATCTTGTTTCCATCACAAAAGCTGTGCTGGCGTTCAGTGTTCGGCCCTGAAGAATATGCACAACAAAGTGGAGGCATGAGATTTGAAGCTTTTCATGGAGGAGGTAGCAAGTAAACTAGACGGGTTTGCGGTAGCACCATGGATATATCCCTCTTTTGAGTAGGTGGGGTTCTGAAAAGAACTGGTGGTACTCAACGTTTCGGACCGTAGGGGGTGTATGCTCTGTCCGTTGTCAGGAGACTGCAGAGGGTCCAGTGATGAGGCAGCTTATAATGTGTGGAGAGCAGCATCAGGCACTGGTACCCGCGCCGCATCAGAGAAGCCATCGAGATCATCGAGAGCAACACAGTACCACAAGACATCGCTTTCCACATCAGCAACATCTGGTGTCCAATCCTCACATCCCAGTCCAATGGATCCCCTTTACCCTAGGACATTCCCAGCCATGGGTCCCCTTTACCCTTAGCTACTCCCCCCTCCCCTCCATTAGACTGACACGCCTCACTGATTTGCCATCACCCCATTGACCTCAGTTGGATCCGGGGTTAGCATCCTCTCCACACCATATCAGCTGCCCTGTACACACCATAAGCTGCTTCATCAGTGGCCCTCTGCAGTCTCCTGACGACGGACAGATCATACTGTCCGAAACGTTGAGTAGCAACATTTCTTTTAAGAACTCCACATACTAAAAAAAAAGACATATCCATGGTGCTATACCGCAAACGTATCTAGTTTAAGAGGAGGGAGTTGAACATACGTGCATGCTTTATGAAAGAGCGCTTGGCAAAACCACATGAAAAGGCACTATGTCTGTTCTTTAGTGTTAACTTACTGCCTCTTGTCCTCTGAATCTAGTGAACACTGGAAAGGGGACACACGTTCTCTGGAGGGCGTCTTCTTAATATGATTTTTTTACACACCCTAGGGAGTAAGGACTATTGGGTTGTCACGGTTACCAGTGTTTAAAAATCCTCCCCCAACCTCAAATATAGGGAGTCCTCTACCTGAAGTTTTTTTATAAGCTGCTCCCGATCAAACTCGACATCTCTCACTTCCTGGCACGCAGACTATTTCCCTCGAGAGGATAGGACGGGGGCAGTTACACATTTCAAGGGACAAAGTCCACCTGCATCAACACGAATTAGGACCGAGTTGATTAAAACGAAGGGAAGCGAAACGAAGCTCGCTTAAAACTAAGTACCGCGTAGAAAAGTGTGCAATTGCGTTTGATTATTGAACTATGCGATGCTAACTTTTGTCCGTTTTGGGACACCGTATTGTCGATTGGTTGCAATTAAAGCTTTCTGCGTCAGATTTGGTTTTTGTGATTTAAGAATAAGCCACTTGCGACTTAAATTTGAATAAAATCTGGTACACTCTGTTATCTGATTGCACAGAAACGTAACAATTTGAATTTCCCAGATTAAAGACACTGTTGCTATACCTCGTGATTCGGGGCAAGCTTTTGCATATTGACCACCATCTTTGGAATGGACAGGTTCCTTTGTGCCATTTTTATCCGTTGAGAACAAACGAAACCAAAAATAAACAAACAAAAGCTATCGCGCTGTAAACTCAAGATCTCCTGCTGAAAACGTGACCGGCCTGCTCAACTTTCCCCTCAACTTAGAAAACTTAGATGAACTCAGCCTTACCACATTGGCTTGAGAACCATGAGCCAAATATGTTTCATAATGAGCATCATTTTCGAGTATGTCGGTGCTTCATATTAAGTAGACGTTACATGTACATCGATCTTGCAACATGATGGTGCATGCTATTGATACAATTGTGCCTGCGTCGTCGAAACACGCACCTTTCTCTGAAAGCCCTTGCACTTCTACTTACAAGAAAAGTCTTTAATAATGTAATTTTCACAATGAGTGCCACAACGATGATTCATAGGTTTTTAAATTATGTAAAGCAATACTGGGTATATAATAAAAAGGCCAGAAAACGTCACACCCAAGCATAATAATCGAGGGCAACATTAAAGGAGAAAACTCCAGAACGCTCAAGGCCGTTCCCAATTCATCACGACGGGTATTGTATGCCCGAATGTTCCATCTCAAATTAGATCGCGGAAAATGGAACGAGATGACAGCGCGTGACAATGTGCGGACTGAAAATGTGACTTAACAGTTCTCTGTTAGATCCACCGTTCCTAACAACGCAGATGCCTTCAAACGGAATTAATTACTTTGAATGGACCATTCAGCTAAATTGGATGAATCGTGCTCTTATGGTTTGTCCCCTGCTTCACAGTCATTGTTGTGCAAACACTTTGCTTTCTAAAATGTTTGTCGGTGACATAAATGCTTGCAGAAGACTTCGGTTTGTCTTTTCAAGGACGCACTTAAAAGCTCATTTTGTAACTTTTTTTGGAAATTTCGTACATAGGCCTAATGCAGTAATCCAATTTCTCCAAGGAACATGTTTTTAGGAAAAGAGCGTACAGTTTTGTGATCGCAATTTACGCTCTATTCAGCGGTCAATATTCCAGTTTAAATCTACAAAGCTGTCACATTTTCTTAGCTAAAAGAAATATTTCGATTATGAAAACACCAGTCGTCAGAAAATGGGGACTTTTTGAGAGTTCGCATTTCAATGTTTATGGATATCAGTCCGGATTGCATCAAGACCAAGAATTTAGTAACAAATCTTAACATTTACCAGCGCACTTTCAGAAAATATACTGCAGACCCAGGCTCACAATATTATGGTTATGTTATCACCACAATGCAAGCATGGAAATAGCGAACCAAGACGACCGATCTACCGACTTGGATGCAATCATCCAACAGGATTTATAAAAAAAATCCTGCAACTAAATCATTGCAACCTGGCTTCAAACCTTGCAGCCAAATTAGATTTCAAAAACCTAAGACAAGGCAACCAACCACAGAAAACAATTCAAACATGTAAATGTGGTAGAAATAACCACTTAAGTGCCGTTAGGCCAAAACATTCCCCTTTATTCATACATTTACCTAGTGTCTAGATGACGGTGCATGAGCGGTTGTCCTTAAAATTAAGTTGTCATTCCACATTTTGTCAAATGATTTTTCGCCTTTAAGTCTTTTCTCCAGCGTCACAATAGCTACACTGAGATATTGAACTAAGCGCTAATTTTGAATGACGTTTTGTGCCATGCTCAGGCTGTATGTTTTACTTTAAGGCCCAAACTCTCCGATTTCTGGTCGGGAGCTGGCTCCAAAAGTGGTGGGGGCGATGCAGCCTTTTTTGGCCCTCCTTTTTTTTCCTGGAAATGATGCACGTATAACGCGCGATGTCCATCGTGGCTACATGCGCTCGTAACACCGACCACTACCAACACTAAAATAGACTGGCCCCCGCATTTCTACTGTTTAAAAGTATTTTCAGCTTGTACACGTACACAGTTCATAAGACCACCTCGTTTGTCTGGTTGCCAGATGTAAATATATGGTACAGAAATGGTGTCATCTGAAAACGAGTGCACGGTTAGCTTTACTTGGAACTATATTACTCAACCGCACCCCATCAAAAACACATTAAAATTTATACGCAGTAGCAGGATTACAGTCGATTAAGCAAGGTAGTTTGGCAGGTTGTAGACATCGTTTTATACCAAATAATTCAACAACTTTTTTATTTTGCGAGACGCGCAGGTGTATTGCGACGCACGCTGACCAGAAACCAGAGACTCTTTTATGGCCTAAGATCAAATATATTTTCTACAAGACTATCTTCTTTAGGTTTGCTAAACAAATGTCTCTCTTCCAGGGTTTCAATACAAACTACAAGGTTCCAACTATCTACTTTTTATTTCCTTAAATAATGGAAGATAAAGGAACGCATGTCCAGTGCAATTCCCGGGGGGTAAGGGTCTGCACCCCTTACTTCTTTTAGGTTTGGCGTGGGCTATTGAAGCATCCACCCCCCCCACATTCCCCCACACTTGTTTGTGGTGAACGAAAATATAAAGCGGATTGTGCTGAATTTTTGGACTTCCAACGACTAAAATACATTAACATCAATTACAAAGGGAAAACAAACAGCCATAATAACGCCCATTTGATGTACGATTTTGCACAGATGTAACACGTTACAAATATAAATCTGATATCATTCATAGACTTCAATACAGATTCATATGGTGTCACCCCCCCCCACTTTTCAAATTTTCATGCCGAGGCAAGTCATCCCCAACCTTTTCCAATTCCCCACCCCCCCCCGTCCGGCACAAATTTATGCCACTGGCAATTATAATTTCCAATGTCTTTACAGTGTTGGTAATATCATGTTTCTGAAAACATGCTATCATAAACAGCGATGTGTTACCGTAACCTGCGATGAAATGGCTAACAAGTTACCTATTCGGCCAAGACTTCTTTGACACAGGGAATGAGGCTGTATTTTCGGCTACATGATTTGCTCATTTCTGTTTTGGTCTAGCTTTAAGTTGTCAGGAAGTTACAAATAAATTATATGTCGCGAGTTCTCATGGGGATTTAAAGAAATTGCTAGGTAGAATTCACAAAAAACTCTCTCCCAAAACACCTTTGCAAGTATTGTGGTCGCAACAATCACAAGACTAGTCACCAGACCAAACAAGATAAAATGGGTGAAGAGTCATGCAGTTCAACCGAACCTGGCGCCCTTTCTTTCCTTTTTTTCCTGCAAGTGAATTGGCTGCTTTTAAAGCTATTGTTGACATCAGCACAAATGTTAAAGAATAATCACAAAGAGTTAATATCCCTTTCAGAGGTCGAAAACCAACCAAACGGTGATATACCTGCATACTTTGGCCGCCCATGCAAGTCGCAGGCAAAATGAGAGCGGTCAATAGATGTTGTTTTTGACTGGAATTCCGTCTGTATATAGGTCTTGCCGTCTTCTGAAATTCTTAATGGGTCTCTACTTTCACACTGACCGTTCCCATACTATTCCAGCTTGCGTTGATTCCACCGTCTTTTGTCCTTGGCCTTTTTACCCTCTAGCACAGAGCTCTGGCGACGTACTTTCGGGCTTTTTGAACAGTTTGAAAGTCAACGTCCGCCACAATATGGTGAATAAGTAAGGTAGCTTACCAATGACAGATAAGCTAAGAAAGGCGTAATTAGCTGAAAATACCACTTACCTCTGTATCATTATAAATCAAGACTACTTCGTAGTCGGGAAGGACTTCCGATGAGTTGTTGATGTCGGCAATGGCTCTCTCGGTGGCCTTTAGACTCGCCCACCCGAAGTATCGACTCCATCCATCCTCTTCCGATAGCGGGAAGAGACCCCCAATGTACAGGGGCCTCGTCTGGTTGGCCCCCGTGAGGCCAAAGGCTGCAGCCCCTGCGAGGAGAAACAGGAACGGGTACATCGCCGAAGCCGAATTGACTGGATAACCACCTTTATGTCAAAAGTGTCGTCTCTCCGCACACACTCCCTTGACAGTTATCTTGACGAAGTGCGCTGTGACAACAGTGTCAGGTACGGGCAGTCATTAATGCCCGCCGACGTTGGTGCTTGGCATTAACATAAACGCATTGGAGACGTTTCTCATTGGTTTGTTAGGTTGAAAAAAGATATTCAATCGCTTTAACCAGATTTATTCGGCAAACACTGACACATACTGTTTGCCCACGTAAATGGGCGCCGTAAAAATGTATACTGAGCGTCGCCAAAGTTGCATCTTCATTTCGGTTTCTTTCCAGGTTGGAATCTCCACGTGGACAAAATTTATAGAGCGAATAATCAAAAGGTTTGTGGGCTACAGACCTACCACCTAGAGATCCCTGATATCTCTACGGATAGAAAATTTTGAAATTCACGGTATAAATTCACAGGATCCCGCCCAATTCGAGGATCCCATCACGGGCTATGCACACCCCAAGCGCTTCTCTACACTCGATCACCTGACGAAAACTAAAACCGAAGGGAAAACCGAGCTCATAGGTAACGGTTGGTTTGTCTACTGCGCCTGCTGCTCAAGCAAGGTTGGGGTGCGTTCTATTAGCTTACACAGGGCAATCCTGGCAAGGAAATGGCCGTGTGCTGTGTCAAACATGCGAGATGGGTGGGGACGAGGTTAAATCCGCGTTAACTCATGAAAGCCAATCGAACCCACCCATGGAGTGTGCCCTTATCCGGTTTTCTTTACGTCACAATTACGAGATGCTATAAGACACCGTGTGGGTATGTGTTTTTGTGTGCATTTTTTATTTATACCTCGTTGGAAATGATACCGTTGCACCAAAAGCAATAGTTATTATAAAAATGTCAACAGAAATGCTACTTGGTGAAACATAAAAACGTACCTGATCAACTGTTGTGTGCAAATTTTCTGCGACACGTCAATGGAGATGTGATGATGATAGTGTCTCCGCACGTATGGCTTGTCCTTCCAGTCTTACTGTGTAACAGGTTTTACTGATCTTCCCGCGTTGTTTCAGACGACCAGGATACTTAGGCTTTATATAATGCATAAGATCGACAGAGATTCTTCTTCGTTGCCATTGCAGGTGACATCTATGCGCGGAATGTTTTGTTTGCCTGAAAGCTACATTCAACCCACGCAGACAAAAGGAAGAAAGAAATTCCCAGCGCTGGCAAATGACCACATACACGAGTGTGGGTATGGGATTTCATTGGGCTAGTGCTCGATGACATCCGTGTGACCAAGTTTAAAATTACATTCCTTTTGTGTGGACGCCCGCGCTTTGTGAATGGCGTTAAAATAACTCTGCTTTTGTTTTGACTCCACATCACATTATTCTCTTTTGACACACAAATTTGGGGAAATGTAAGTAGAGGTTTCTTGCGTACGTAACTAAAGTTATATTTTGTTTCATATTACAATTGATGATGCCCTTGATGGTAGAAAAGCAATTAAATGGGTTAAAAGTACCTCTCGCGTAGAAGTTGTGGTTACTGTTTTGCCCATTACCGTGTCTCCTTTTTCTACTTTCTCAGCATAAAGACCGTTACCGAGCCCGATACTCACACATGGATAGGTTCCAGATTGACCATCCAGAGTCACTCGGAGACAGTACATGAATTTTGATCAGAATTCACCCCACCACAATGAACGATTTCGTTTGCCGCCGACCAATAACAATGTTGAGAAACCAAGCCCTGCAGCAAGTCATTTCCCGATCAATACTTGAATATGACGGTTCAAACATGCACGGCGTGAAATGTAGAAAGACCTGCTATTGAGTTGACTTAGAGGTAGAAACATCTTAACGGTGGTCCATTCCCCCTTCATACACCGGGTGCTTTCTCCTATTTCTACAGGATACATAAACGCTTTAGATGAAAATGAGGCTGCACTTGCAAAAACAAGTCCCAGTGACGTAAATTTGTGCCAGAAATTGGGGGGGTGCCGGATGGGGAAAGGTAGGGGAATGACACTATATGACTCAATATAGAGGCCGAAATTCATGATGTTGATGTATATCTATAAATATGTATTCAAAATGACAATTATAATTTATGGCTGTTAAAAATTGTTTTCCCTTTTCAAAATTAACAGGCCTATTCAAAGCCTTTTAGTTGCTGGAAGTCCAAACCATCCGTTATAATCCGTTTTAATGTTTGCTCACCACAAAAGTGGGGAAGGGGGATGATTAAATGACCCATTCCTCCCTCGTCAAAAAGTGCGAGGGGATATACATGTATACCCCCGTCCCCTGGGATTTACGCCCACGGCAAAAACAAACTCTTTGGTTCTTACTACTCTAGTCCGAAAATATTACACTAAGCAGCCCATCCGGGAAACCGACTCTTGCAAGCACAGGACTCCCTTTTCAAGCCAACCATGATCAAATATCGTAAACAGCGCCTACTGTTGCTCGAGTTGCTGCTCTATTGCCAGATGACTGCTCATTTGGAAACGTGGCAGGACAGCTCTTTGCAATTGCATGCAAGGTTCGTGGCCAGACGGTGTAGGATATCTTACGCGCAACGACGAGCATGTTCCACGGCGAGATGAGATCGAATCCTAGGATGAACCACCTTGTCAATCAAATCTGAATCCCTTCCATTCGTGGGTAATCGCTGCCTCCATTATTAATTCAAATTAAGACAGCTGGATGGAGCTGATTAGCACATGCGCGTGTGCGATTCCAGTTAATGGTTAATAAACACCGCATTCGACGGGCCACGAGTGCGGATCGGTGTGGGTAGGCCTGCACTCCGTCTTGGGACGTTTTCGTGGTTATGTAAAATAGGACCGAATTAAAGGGACATTTCTCTGTCCACAAAAACCTGTCCTAACAAAATCAGTGTAATAACGAGCGTATGCCCCCACAACGTGGAACTGTTACTGGTATATGTACCTATACTCTCTACATTGGAAAGAGTGAAATTAGAGACAAGACGTTTTAGAGTGAAAATCACTCTGAATTTAGACTGAAAAAGGTGAAATGTCAATCTTTTGGAGTGAGGAAATTTCACTCCAATTCGTCTGGTCCTTATTTTCAATCGGAGGGATTGAATTTTCACTCTTCATAATTTAGAGAGTACTTGGACGGTTCATTACGCATGCGAACGACGGACCACAGAGAATTGGCCCATCATTGAGATCGTCCGAGACGAAAAGGCGAAAACAGTATTTCTTTTAAGGGGCCTAGGCCTACGTCTAAAGGTTAGAGGACCAACTAAAAGGCATAAGCTATGTAAAGGTCTATTTTGCGTGTACGGTTGAGGATTATGTAGAAGAGAAATTCAAATAGCTTTACCAACATCCACTACTATTTTTATTTTTCCATCCCACCTTAAAAAAATCCTTGATCCGTCCCTGGTACACCTAATACTTTGACCATTTTAGAGCATCATAACACACTCCATGCCTGTGCTGAAGAAGTGGAAACAGTGGAAGTAATAGAGATTCGGCAGAATCAAGAGCAAGGCATGCTAACAGTACAAAGACAGATAGAGCCCTCATGTCCTCCGGTGCATGATGTCTCAATTAGTCGAGTAACTTTAGCCCCGATGAATAACGCCCTCTAGCTTCAGCGGCGTTTTTCTTGTATGTTTAATATCGAGAGGAAAACTCCCTTGGCCGATCCACACTGAGAATCAATCTAAAGTTGATTTGATTCTGGCTACATACACACAAACGCGTAAAGCGCCAATCGTTTCGCATGGTTAGGAAAAGAGTGTGCCCAATGGGAAATGACATTAATTCACCTATACAGGTTTTGCGTTGCTGGCGTCTCCAGGCATTTGAAGCAAGATATAGGACGGAGAGAACCCCCCCCCGCCTTTGTGTTGGTCATTGTTTGATCGGAATCTCAGGAATTCTTTGCAGACTTCTAGGGGTGTGTGTTAAGTAACAATAGTCAAGAGTGTGTATAGGGATTAGACAGTTAAGGGGGGGTACGCCTCCGTCCCATATCTTGCCTGGTATATCTCCAGGGTGTCTGGGAGGCTATTTTTGTTATTTCAATTTAGTTACAACGATTACACAAAAGGTTTATTCCAGCCTATCCGAGTGATATGATGATGCCAATATTCGTTTAGTATTAGGAGGCACCCTTCAGTCAAATGTAGGCACTTTATATGCATTTGTCACAGGCAAGAGCAAGGTTACTACAGCATTAATTCACATTCCCCTGAATCAGATTTTAAACGAAAATCCTTTACCCACAGAAATATCACGTCAGTGAAGTTTCTGACACCAACTTTTAAAACTGCATAACGACAAATAAAATGTTATATGCCCCTCTGAATTTATAAAGTTGCGGACACGGACAGTATCCTATTGTATCGGATGTTCGAACTCAATAGAAAGGAATGAGCACAACTCAACAAACAGAATGACAGGAACGCAGAAACCTAGTCTGATAGGTAGAACAAAAATTATTCAGCCTACACTTCTCCTTTTATACACTTGGGGCTGGCCGCCAGCGCGGACCGATTTGTGCAAAGTAGTGCCAAATTAACATAATGTATATCACACATCGTCTGCCAGTACAGCTTGCCTTTGGTACCAGAAACAAAAAGTTGCTTCAATTCCCAGCAGGAACTAACCGTAGGCCTAGACTATAGGGAAGCAGGTATACCCGGCACTGCAGGATTTTGGACGGAAGGGTAGGTATCCCCCATATGTCCGAATCCTCTAGACGCTCTTACTGCAACCTAACACAACCCCCCAGGTATCTAAAAGGAATTCCTGAAATTCCGGTATAACAATGACCAAAAGGGGGGGGGTTCTCTCCGTCCCATATTTTGCTTCAAATGTAATACCTTTACCCGGCACAATGGACACAGGGGTACCATAGACCCAAACAATTTAGACCACAAAAATGAAATCGTACCTCTGCGTACAAACGTTGTCAATAAGATTATTTGCAAATACTTCATGGGTGATTTTGCACGATGGTAGAAAGGCATTGTGGGAAGGACAAAGGTGCAACGTTTGCTCCTTTTTTTGTTCAAAATCTCACGGATATCCAAAGATTAATGTCATGTTTTGGGGACCCTAAATACTGAAAACTGACCTCTCTCCCGAGCAAGCTCCTGGTAGGTGCATGCAGTTCTAAATCACCTATATTTAACCTCAGCTACCATGCAGACGCGCTAAACTGGGCTAAACTAGTCTTCGGCCACTTACCTGGGAAATGCCTTACCTCAGCATGGGAGGACGAGATCCTGGCTATTTTCAATATGTAAGCCCGAATACAGGCGATTCACAATGTGACACACAGAGGTTGCCATGGCACGAAATGGCCCTTTTCTCCCAGTGCAGTTGAGAAATGGGCGAGAAGTTCTTTCCACCAGATGTACGCGGAAACTTGAATTACTCCAGATCTTTATTTGTCAGGGCAGAAGATTCGTTTTGTTTCTTTGAGAAGTTTTAATTGATCCTTTCTTCAGCTATGGCGTGAAATGTCTCAATCTAACAAACCGTTCTCGAAGTTGTCCACGGAAATGCACGTCAATACAAATCGTGACAAAGAGGCTGTGCTTTTCATACGAAGAAAACTATGGGACAGCGATTATCCCCGTTTGTGTTGGTCATTGTAAACTGGTATCTCGGGCATTCTTTTAAGACACCTGCGGGAATGTATTACGCGACAATAGGATGGAGTGTGTATAGGAATTGGACTTGTTGGGGGTACCCTTCTGTCCCATTTTGTGCTTTCGGCGAAACGGTCTCTCCGTCACAACCTCTTGGTGGCGCACTGTAGTGTGAGAATCGCCCCTATACGAGGAAGACCAAATCACAGGAAAACGTTTATGATGAACACTAATGTCCTCACATTCTCAGTAAAGTACATAGTTAAATATCTAGATACTTAACAGGGACAATACTCTAAGAAGAAGCATGACAGAGTGTTACAGTTCAATATAATACTTTATTTAAGCTTTCTTGTTTAAAGTTCACTTTATTTACAAATCTTGTGACCCAGCCAAAAGTTTTCAGTTCCCTTGAAGAAGGCGTTGGGATAGCTTGGTATTAATGTCGACATGTATAAATGTTAAATCTAGCTTTGGGGCAGTTTGGGTGATGAAGTTGTGGGTTCAGATGTGTAGCCTAGCAACTTCACACGAATATGAGCGGCACTTTCTCTTGAATTTTAGAATTTTATTCCTTCTTACAGTAAGGAGAAAATGTTTTATAGCTGTGACTTCGTGTGTACTTTCTCCCTGTAATCACAGATAAACGGATTTACAGTGATTGATATCTGAATAGGTTTTTTGACTCAAGTGGTTGATTTTTTATTAATAATTACGACGTCTTACATACTTAACAGTTGTTGGCTGTTTTGTTGTTTTGGGTTATTTTGCAGTTTGACACTTTTATTTAATAATTCAATCTATGACTTTGTGGGTATACATTGGAGTGAATAGCTATTTGTTTAATTTGTGATTGTAATTCAATTACCCAAGAAGTAGATTCTAAAAACAATTACATTAGCTCCCTTTCCGTAATTGTGACACTAGCATGTTTGTCAAAACAGCAGGGACAATTATCTTTTATCCGACAATGTAAGTTTCTTGAAAAAATATCCAGATTTCGATTTTCAATAATCATACACTGCAGAAATCACTGTCTAAAATATATTATGGGCGGGCGGTCATAGAACAGGGGTTCCCATTTTTATCTGCAGTGTGGGTCTAATTGAAGATAATGTTTGGGGTTAAGACTCAAAAGGTTATAATTAAACTAATCAATACATTCTGCCGAATGAAAATTCATTCATCTATTCCAGTGACGATTTATCCCCCATTCTGATTGAAAGCAAGGACAAGATGAACGAGGGGAATCTCCTCACACGAAATGATCATTCCCTAAAGTTCCATTGGAGGTATTTCCTTCTTACAAATTTTCTCTAAATTGAAAGTGGTTTCATTTATTTATTTATAGATTTCAAAGGCAGTTTGGGATTTCGGAATGGGAGCTTGCATCAGTTAGCTCAGACATCATCTGTTTGATTTTGACAACTTTCCAGCAAATGTGTCTCACAGTTTTACGAACACAGCCCTGTTACTTTGCCAACCTGAGGACTACTAAGCAGGTGACATTTCAGGGGCCAATACTAACGCATTTGACACGTTCAACATTGTATGACTTATACTTGTCACTGTTTCTAAGCAACAGAATGTAACTACATGGATTGTATTACGCATTTTTATTGTTCTAATTATTAGTTTTTCTCTGTCTTGTCCTTTTGTGTGTCACTGTTGAGTAAGATATAAATGTCCCGTGTCAGATTTCGTCACAAAGGAATGTTACACATTACACACTGTACTCTAAGTACTAAGTAATTAACGTTTTGTGCTGTACAATAAAGCGAATTCATTCTACAACTTCTGTTTGCCAGCTGCGGTTGCGAACATGTGTAATAGGCACTGTAAGCAAATATACCTAACATTATATCTACAGTTGTAGGGAAAAATAAACAGCATTGCGAATGATTTACAATACTCTGTGAATTTTCATCCAAGATAAAATACAAAGCTAAACCTGACGTTTATAGACAACACGGTCATCTTCTCGTTACACAGTTATTTGGTTTTAGTTTTCAGGTTGTAGTTTTCCAGTTTTCAAAAAACTTACCGATTCTCATTCATAAAAAGACCCAGTTAGTCAAAAATATTTTCAGTTCATCCGTGGGACTCAATATCCTACACTTAGCGTTTGATGAATGTACCCTCCAAAGCGCGACCTGAAATGTTGTTGAACGGCGGGATACTTTTCCTGGGGGGGGGGTACACAAGCCCTGGAGCTCTGTAATAATCAGGTTTTTTTATATAACCCATTTATATTCACAAGGGATCTACACCTTAAGTTCACAATGCATTTAGAGTGCTGCGTAAGTGACGACTCTTAGAGTGAATAGCAATGCTGAGTTCTTTGCTCTTTCTTTGCACAAATACAACACATAAAATGCAGTAATTTTCACTGAGGCCGATTTTAGGGCAGCAGTATTCCAACTGCATCGCGACTTCTGCTGGTATTGCCTTAAGACTATTTGTCTTGATCTGTTAAGGGCACCTTTCAAATCTGGCTAAACAAAACTTGTCAAGGTATCAGTTTAATTTATATTGACAAATTCAGCTTAGGAAAGGGTCAGTCTACTTTTCAAATCTACAGAAGTGCAGTTTTCTCCGACTATGTTTGTCTAGATATCTTTCATCAGAAGCATGGAATCAATATTTCTTTTAAACAATTGAAAACCATAGCGAGTGTTAATTAATATTTACGTGACATGCTGATGACAGCCCACAAGTGACTTTCCAAGATCTTCGGGTGCTGGCCAAATGGTATGTTTGTTTTATATAAATGACTATCCATTTTTTCCTAGTTCCAACAATCTTGACTGCCTGCGACGAAGTGGTAGTAGGCCTACTGTTTCTAAAATGCGCCACCTTCCCCGGTCGTCCCGCTGATACTCCTCTGATACCCCAGGGTTCCTGGGATACACAGGTGACCACAAAAAGTAAAAGTCCCCGAAAAGCTGTTCCGAAGGCTAAAATGAATTTTTCTATCATTTATTTTACAGAGGTTGGTCGTAGTGGGTTTTAAGGAAAGGTGACGCAACTTCATGTTAAGCCGGGCTACGTGTTGTTCACCATGCAGAAATAAATCACCAGGGCCGACCGGTCCCAACTCAGAGCATCCCGGCGCATCAAAGTAAATACATCAACGTTCACATAGTAATTCAGTAGAAACACCCCAAATATCCCCTTCAACTCTTTCGCAAAAGGCCAGTATGTTGTGTATCCAGCTTCAGAGCTACTTTGGAGGTAAACTACTTTGCAATACGATCAAAATCTTCGGACCAAATAATCTTACACGACTGTCTAATTTGTATAAACGAGTGAGTAGTTCGAAAAAGAAGTATCTGTACATATGAGTGCATTCTTTGTTAATTAAAATTCACTTATTATGCACCCGGTAAACATAGAACAAGATAAATCAACGTAAGTAACAAGCTGGTTACTTAATCTGTGCTTAAGAATTTGGCTAATATCCGAGTCAGTGACATTTTCCTTCCCTTTTATCTCGCTTTAAAAGTGCTCTTTAAAATCAACTTGCTTTTACCACTCTATTGTGTTTAGAGACTTAATAAGTCACACGGCATGGTATTGCTTAGACACATGTGTGTTATGATACCTGGTTGAACACAGATTCAGATGAAGTCGCTAAGCACTTTGAAGTTGGCTTTACTGATAGCATCTGAAATAACCTTCGCTGAGACGGTGAGGGTGAAGATGGAGACATTTGCCTTTATACCAAGAGCAGTGTGGGAATAATCAAAGAAAACGGAACAGCTGAGTGAAGGTCCATGGTGTACTTAGCGCCTGGAGCACAAAAACGAAAGTAATACCAGGTGATGATTATTTGAGGCTGTTTGTAACTGAAAAAAGGCAGCGGGAGATATAAACTCCCTTGATGCGAGTATCTTGCGTTCTGAAAAGGCAACCAACTCTTTAATCCTCAATGGCAACTGCAATCTCATTTTCAGCGTTAATTTTATTTCCAAATTTATATATCTGCAGTCCTAACAATCCATGACGTGCCACCGATGTTCCCTGTCCCCTGATTAGCAGGTGCATCTCCCAGGAGTGTTCACAAGGAAAGCCGTGCATTTGCTTCATAATCAGAAGCTCCGCGTTTTATACAATGTGCCCCACGGTAAACATTGAAACAGTTCTGGGGACAGCTGCAGTGTAAGAATACATTGTTGTACAAGACTTTTGTAAATTAGTTTCGAGATGGGAAGCTGTCAAGAAACGAAGGGGAGACTCTTCTTACGACCATTCACCAGTTATGGAGTCTTACGAAATGGCTGTCCAAATCGTTTTCCCGTCCACATCAAGGCTATCAAGACCTTAACAAATCCCGGATCGGATTTGTCCACTATCGTGGTTTCGTCTTGAGCTCTGTAATCTGTTTGAAACATTCAAGTCGTTGGCCTCACATTAGACACTGCAACGACCACTTTGAGACGCTCGGTGGCGGCAAACATACCAGGCCTTTCTATTAGTTCTGAGCAGGCGCACGTATGTTCTGAGCATGTGCGAAAAAAATGGCACGTTTGGTGCCACCACCGTCTCAAACTCTCCCATTATTCGTTAAACAGGGAATTTAACAGTATTATGCCGAGATATATATGAGCTGGCAGAAATGATTCGCTTCGCTTACCTGCGATTCTGGTCCAGACCATCCTGGAGTTCCTGCTCTTTCCGTTGTAGAATGTCCGTAAGCCGTCTTTTGTTGAGGTTTTGATAGCGTATCCGATCTCTTTGTCTGGATCTGCTGGCATCATTAGCCTGCAGAGAGTGAAAAAGTACGAGATCAATGGATCGCGCCATCTATCATACTCTGACCGACGGTGCAACATCAAAAACGCAACAACAAGCATAGCCATCTATTTTAAGTTGATCCGTAGCGAAAAATAGCTACAGATATGATCATATCTTCACAGAGATCTAGCCCCTTTAAACTAAACAAAAAACTGTTAACCTCAGTCGAGTGTTACCAAATCTTAGCCTATGTATACTGCTAGATTAATATATTCTTTCACCCTGGTAAAACAGTTTTTACTTACTTTATGCCATTCCCTCCAGTCCTGGAAGCGCAAATTTTGAAGGAATAACGACATAGAATAGTAAGTAAATAGACAAGGACAGTAATGCAGTGTCCAAAGAACCACATACTACGAAGGTGCATAACTGTTCCAGTAAAAGCTGATAACAATTATTGCATAACAAGAACTACCCAAAACACAGCTGTAATGAAAAGTCAAACAAATCGATTTTGGTTTCATTGTACACTATAAATGTATGCTTGTGGTTCATGACCATTGAAATTGATGGACACAACAATGTTTTTTAATTGTAAAAAAATAAAACCCGATTTGCTCCTAAGTATTTACAAATCGTTGCATCTTAGATAAAAATGACAGTGTACACGTTTTAATGTTTTAATAAACGTTAAATCAACATTTCACTTACGGTGGTTCTGTCGCAGTTCTTCAGATCAAAGCCAACACAACAGGAAATGGTGAAAAGACAACATTCAAAGGTGTTATTGAAGTACAGAGATGTGACACATGTCAGAAAGTAATAAATTTTCAATAACATTATGTGGAGAGAAAGCTAAATTTTTAACCTTAAACATTCTTAAACTGGCACGGGTCAGTTCAAAGTTAGTCTCCAAATAAACTAATATAGGCCTTTCCTAATACGACGCACTAGCTTTTAAAACAAGAGTGACAATAAACAAGAAGTAGCATGGTTCTAGGTATATCTGATTTTTATCGGAATCAATGGTTTAGGGCCGTTTAAAAACACATGCTCCGATTAAATGATCACAGATTTCGCCTTGGTGTATGGTAATCACACTTACCCTGATATCCAACTATGATAAGAGTCATGGACGAATCAACGAGTGCATGAAATGAGAACCGAAACATTGCAATGGTTAAGACGAGATAGATGTGTGTGCAGGCTTCGTGGTCACAGCACACGTTCTGCTTCAAATACGTGTTGTCAAGTACAGATAGTAAAATGAAATAAAAATACGTCTTCCCACAGTAAGTGGACAGATTGATATCTTGAGATATCTGTCTATCGTTAGTCTGCCAATAAAATCGGCTAAGGTTGCACAATGTATTAAATATATACAGGGTGTCCCAGAAAAAACCAAACCCTGAGGAAAGGGGTTAATATGCCAAAACCATGAGATATGATTACAATGTATAAGGGTCTCCGATAAGTAGAAGCTGGGACAACCTGTAGAGGCAAAAGCTGACATAATTACTTAAAACTTTCTCTTAAGGTAATTGCTTACAGCTCACCTCGCATTGCTTTACCGGTGTACAGGTGCAGCAGCGTTAAAGAAAAATGTAAAGTACAACGATGGAGACAAATAAATTTTCTGAAAATAACAAATGCATTGCAAAGAAAAACAACAGTGGAAATAATTCAATTCCTTTTATTCCTTGAGTTTTGTCGCTATCATTAACACGTGTATCAATTGTCTATCACAAATATCAAATTATTGGGGCTATGTTGATTGAGCGTTCTCTCCCTTAATGCAAGGAAAAACATACAAATGAGTGAGCTTATTAGTGCTTTTCATCCCTTCAAACACTTTATCATAATCTCAAAAATGCTTTCTATGTTTGTTAATATTCATTGTAATCGCCAGCTAATATCGCTCAAACTACCTTTGTCAAGGTCGTGGTACTTTTCAAATTTTTAGACAAAATGTAGGCAATAAAAAAGTGAATTTTACTTTTTTCTGCTGGTTTTTTCAGCGACCTTTTCCTTTTGTGCCAATGTCCATGTTTGCTTCTTGCCAAATTACATTTTCCCAAACAAGTGTGGCCGGCCAGTGAAAGTAAAGAGCGCCCCCATGTGACTTGTGATAATGGAAAATTAGAAGCCATTTCGGTTCAAAAGTCCGCATGGGTGTTTACACACCGGCCAATCAATCGCCTGATTCTGGTGTGTCGACAGTCATGTCACTTCAGCGCACTATAATTTACAGCTTTTTTTTCTGATCAGTCAGTGTAATCCCCATACACAGCAGCCCAACGTTTTAGAAACAAAATGTTCCAGTAGTGTGTATATTTAGCCTAATGCTCTGCATTTAAAGCTGTACTTTTTCGGAAATAAAGCCTCTTTAGCCACTGATGAAAATAAAAGGTCTGACCAAAATTAAAATAAGTTTGATGCTTACCCTCTGTTACGTCCAACATTCCACAAGCAAGGAAGAAAATGAAAAGATTCCAATGAAATGTCGTTAAAAACTTTTCTGGTGGAAGCTACCTAACGATTTCACCAAACGTGTCAGTACTTTAAGGTCCTTATTGAAAAATTGCACCTAAAGGTCCTTATTGAAAAAGTTGAAATTGGTCAAAAAGGTTTTCCGAAATTCATTCATGTTGGCCCAAAAATACTAGTTTAATAAGTATAAGTAAAATAAATGCAGTCAATTTCAACATACTATTTCTTTCATGCTCACAGTGAGGCCCTTAGAATATTTTTAAAAATTACTTTTTCGCTTCAATAACCTTTTAGCACTGAGTCAACAAACTGCATCATTCAAAATAACACCACCTTTACTATCAGCTCCACTGACAAGAACAACAATGCAAAGTCCTTACAGACGTAAAACATTTAACATTTGCAAGGCCGCTCCCTTGTTACAATACTGCGAAAAGGGCATCAATAAAACAATTTGATGAAGTGGACTTATTGACGTGTGAAACCCTTTTGCCGCCAGCAACTGTGGCAGTAGTTGTCTATTGTTTGCCTCATTTTGAACATGCACAAACCAGCTTAGGCATGACGCAAACAAATAGAAAAGGACTGTCATGTTTGCTGCCACCAAGCGTCTCAAAATTATCCAATTTTTTCTATGAAAAAGCATCCAGTCGCCATGTTCATCAGTTCAAACAAGAAATGACGTTAATGTCAACATGCAAACAAGAGCAACGTTAAGCCATTGAAGCCTTGAGAAACTTTGTCAGATTTCTCTAGATAACATAATAAAACGGTAATTTGAAGCAGCGGCGGCTTGTAACACGGGTTCTCCTTGCCAATTTAACAGGGTTGACCGCCAAACTTGATGATGAGCACTCGTCCTTGGAACTAATAAGTAATGAATTACAAGTGCAAATTATACGTAAAGCAATTGCTGAACTTACTTGTGCACAGAAAAATGACAAATTAGCGGTGTGCTGAAACTAAAATTAAACTTAATTAACATGCATGATATTAAATACTCAGAAAAAGAGATATAAAATGATCTATTAACATATTTCATTCATTTACATACATTTGAATATAAAACATACAAATACAAAGCACAAGAAGAAAAACACACAATTACATGCAAGTTAAGTCAGCCGACCACAATATTAACCAACCACACGAAACAAATATCACAACATCGCCTTAGGACTATTCAAAATGAAACTGTCCCAACTGAAAACGGATTTCAATGCCTGAAATCTAATATGAACCAAAATGCCACAGAAGTCAGTTAACTCACTTTAACTAGGCCACCTAGGAATGAATTTAAATATTATTTGGCACATTTGGTTGAGAAAACCCCTGAAGCAACAACTACCATGGATGTGAAAACGTGAGACAATTTCTTAACCACTCCCACAAAAATACATCTTTGAACACTGGCAAAAGAACAACATATTTCTTTTGATAAAACCATGCGTCGATAAGAGATTATAGCAATTTGAAATTGAATCTTACCCGACCACCCTGTCAAAAGGCACAGCAAAATAAAAGCACAGAATGTTTGTTACACGTGGATATGCAGGGTGTATCAAAATAAAGGAAACCCAAATTCAACCATAATTTATTGGAAAACCGCAGGAACTAGTGTCACCGACGCTGGTGGCAGGTTTAAAAGGCCACTTTTGGTTTTCTTTATTTTGTTATCAGTGAAACCAAGGCTCACTCTTCCTTTTCTTTTGGGGAGGCGTTAGTTTGTTCTAACGTTAGTTTGACGCCTGCCAGACAAACTAATTTTTGTTACTTTCTAACCGTCATGATTATATTCTTGCAATTTACATCCCGTAGTTACGCGGTCCCTGGCCAAACAATGGCCCCCGTTTCTGCGCGGGAATTAAAGTTAACGCTCTAGTCTCCAGTAGGAACTACTGTATACCGAGGGAATTTACGCTGAAAGACCAACGGGCGTGAAGCAGGCTTACCGGCGCTTAGGGGTATATCTATCGTACAGTACAGACCCAAAGCCTTCTCCCGCAGCAATAGCACTTTGATCAATTTCAGGGCTATCAAGAAATCTAACACAAACCTAAAACTCTTTCGATACTCTCAAAGAAACTGCAAACAGTCTCAGAGGTAACGACATACCTTAGCACATTAAAAATAATTCGAACAAAAATGCACGCTGTGGGAAGCAACACTAAGCAAAACTTTGAAAACAGACCCGACATTCTTAAATAAAACAAGCGTTGCTTGCGACGGTGCATTAACACGAATCTGATACGAAAATGTCTCGATTTCGAATGCAGCTCCACAGTGACTTCCAATGACTTTTATCATGCACAGCTAACTTAGCCCAGGGTCTGCGCGCAGTTTCAACGAAAATTTGTCGTCAGAAGTTAACTGCTGCAGACCTTTTTTCCCCACGTGACTAAATGTAAACAATACCACCACATGTGCACTGCCTCCTTGGCCACAACGTTCGCATATATTCCTACGGGCAGCTTCCCCCACATGCAACCGCACGTGTGAGCACTTCATGAGTTTATCTAGAATCGGTAGATTACCATCACCGCACTATGCACTCATTACCATCACAACACATTATAGGTCCAACACGATCGTGACAGCAATGAAAAAAGGTCTATAGTTATGACAGTCAGAGCCAACTCACGCGACGGCCATTGTGTTCTTCCGTTGTATCGATTTGGTGGCGTTTCAACAGAGCAACAGTTTCCCCAACGCACGTGAACCAGTCATACTCTTATCCATTTTTTCCATAGCCACTTACTTAAGATCAAGGTTACTCTCAGAATTTCCGGGTGATTAGTTTCATTTGAGGCAAGGTCAGAGATCGCTGTTGCACTGAGCGTGCATGCGCGTAATTAAGCCAGCACCTCTTCGCCTTAATAGTAAATTAAAGATAAAAATTGGCTAAAGCGGTCACGTTTCGTTTACTCCGCGTGGGTAGATTTTTTTTTCGCGACCGATGTGTGTGTCAACATATGGGCAGTTTCTCGAAGAACAAGCGGCATTTCAACATCATTTTACAAATAAGGTCCAACCTCAGAAATAAGGTTTAATCAGTATTTGTGTTTCCTTTGAAGTCTTATGAACCACTCGATACTGTCCATGCAAAGTTAACCATATGGGTTCTTTTATACAAGGTCGAGATTCATCAAATTATTGTTAACAAACTGGGAAAAATAGGTTACTTACTATATCGATCTGTGTATCAGCCGCGTCAGCATTGAAGGAAAAGAGGACAGTTACATTAAAAAAAAAACACTAAAATGTTCAGTAGACATTCATGTTGTTGTTCAATAGTAAATAACAAAAACACAATCGATATCTGTATCAAACATATCAATGGTATTTCATCTTCCCTTAAGTTGCAAAGTAGTAACCTCAAAATTGATTTAGTTGCAGAGTAGTAACCTCAAGATTGATTTATATTATCTAAATCCGTCAATCATTACCCTATATTCACTTCGTGAAAAATGATATTCTTACCTGCCTTCCACGTTTTTGAGCAGTGTCTTTGAGCCAAGGCAACGATCTACCGAGAACTGTAGGTAAAACCGGAGGAAAAAAAAAGTTTCAGATGTTTATGCTGAAAACCGACTGTAATACACCTTGGGCTCGAAAGAGGGGTCTTTTCTTTCGACCGATTGCGCTGCACTGTCGCCGATCTTGTGCGGAATCTCAGGCTTCACTCCCGTCTTTGAAAAAAAAAACTGTCCACAACCGTGCCAGTAAGACAGACGATCGACGTAGGTAGGTGGGACCAAGCGGTCATGCAGATCTACAGATCGCGCCTAAAATTGCCATGTGCAGGCCACACGAAAATCCCAAACGAATTACAAGTCATTTGTGATCATGCTTGCACACAACAGAGTAAGGCTCTACCCCTAACCCCCCCCCCCAAGAAATGATACAAAAACGGACTCAGTACAAATCACCCGTGCAGTTCATTGCTCTCCGAGTACGCACATACCATTGAGTAATGAGGGTAGGCCTATAAACGATATGTCAGAAATGTACCCCTGAAATACTTCACAGACGTACTTTAGTTACCTCAAACTATTTCTAACATACTTGAACAAAAACATATCCCTCTACCTATACCATACAGACTTTAATAAATACAGAATACCAAGTAGATATACAAATGCAATCCACTGATGACTGCTTGCAAAGAACTACTCTCTCGACAAACGCAGATGTCTTATAATGTATTATTATTAAAAAGGGGTATCTACAAATCCTGAATGGCTGCCTTTTCATTGATGGAAAAACCGTTTTGTTGGAGTGCAGATGTCAAAAATAAATCATCAATGTACATCATAATGATGGAGGGGGAACAGGTGAAAGCCATGACCAGTGAATATGCACTTCTACGGGATCATTACACCACGGAGCAATAAAATAAAAGGCAGTAAAACGCCATAATGACTCCATTTTTACCGCAATTTTGCCATTAAGCACTCGATGGAAAAGTGCCCTGCTACAGCAACGGATCACATGTGATACGCACATCGACGAGATAATGAAAGTGTAATGACATTTATCAAAAAGGCAATTAAGTGTAACGCGCAGGCAAGACGGGAGGCAGGAGAGTAATCGCATCAATCCAAGATGTGACTGTTTCCGATCGTGACTCCGAAGAAGACAGCTAGACTGGAAGATTTATTCCCGTCGAAATGATCATTTCGTACTAAAGAAAGTGTCACCGAAGTTGTATAAATTTGACCCAGTGTAGCTAAACATTGAAACAAACAAGCAGCTAAACAAACAAGCAAGAACTTCATTGCACCGGCGCATGCTCTCGGATTTTTTTGGAAAGCTGGGTAACTGTATCAGTCAATTGACCAATCCAATGGCATGACATACCAGGATACACTGGTGTGCACCCAGGTAACCCCTTACACCCCACCTCCCCCCCCACAAAAAAATCGCCCGGTCACAAATCTCCCTTTTGTGATCCAGTTGAATAAAACAATTTTGTGCAGCTGACTAGAGTTTCCACTTTCTTTGTAATTTCGTACGTCACCACGTTTGTGCCACAAAATCAACGCTAATACCGGGAGAGAGAGAGAAGGAAGATGATTGCCTCCGAATAATTATAGCCTCTGTCCACCTGTCCCTATAAAGATTGACATCCCCACGTTGCAGCATTTGACGCGCCGTATACATCCCTGGTGATATCGATATTAACCCGAGTGGCAGCCGATCGACGAAATCCCTCAAAACGTAATTGCTACCGAGAAGATGAGGGCCTGTTTCCGGAGCGCTGACAAGCTCATTGAATTCTAAGCACGGCAGAGTACGAAAATGTTCCAAAATCTCTCGGCTTTATTTTTCATCCCGTCAGTTCTTGTTCACTTCTTCTTCGTCTCCTCATTGATCGTGTCAAAACTCTCTTTGAATAGGTAGATTCATGTGACAAGTGATGGGCCTTTGAGGAGATATTAAGCTAACCACGTGTTGTTATGAACTGTCAAAGCTACAGCATTTCCAACTGTCGTTGGGTTTCAAAATGCCTCCAGGTTTTCAACTCGGCAATGGACTGGCCCATGACCAAGAACAAAATGTTGCAAGTACATTAACGCCAGCAGCAACGTACGCCAAGTGCCCGATATAAGACGTCTATCAGGCTTGTGAACAATTAAATTGACTTTATTATAAACCTAAGGCGACAGATACAGTTATGGTTGACAGTTTACGTACACATACGGAGAGTAAGCATTTAATAACAATTTGTCTTTTCATATCTATTCCCAGCAACTACCTAGCTAATCAACCAGAACATCTCCTGTACCTTCATACTCTATTTTCAGGTTCATGCATATTGAATGACTGTTCTAGCTGATAAGCTGAGCAGCATTAATTCAATAGCCTCCAAAATCGGTACACTATTGTTATCCCCCCCCCCGTTTAAAATATATGTAAACTTTTACTGTACTTGCTCAGATACGTGACCGTACACTGTGTGTCCCGCTGTTCTTACACAAGTGTCGATAATATACTTAATTCTTTTTTAAGTTCAAGTTAAATCAGTCGCTGTTTCTTGTACAACCAAAGGAAAAACTGTGTAGGCCTACATGATCGTCACATCGTTTCTGTGAATGGATATCGATACGCCTGAAAAAGAAAATCAGGTTTACCCAGTTGACAATCAAGTTCCCAAACGCATCTCACGTTAAAATATCCAGCGGGTAATTTAAACAATAGGTGTGATACAAAAAGCAGTTGGGTTAATTGCTTAAGTTATGGGCCTCGTGGATTCTGTAAGCGGCAAAAACCCCTCTCTTTTTAATTAATATGTCACTCAACTGCGTTTAATTAATAACATGCCGGGGATGTTTGGGAACTAAAGCCGGCACTCATGCCTCCCTTAGGCTCTTGAGATCAAAAAGTCGCTCTACTTGATGAAGCAAATTTGCTTAACACACCGCTTTTCCTGAGAGAGAAGAACAAAATAAAGAAAATAAGAAAATATGGGAGAGAGTGAGCGGCTGGAGAACTGACGCGGCTGATCATTAAGCGAAGCACCCTCCTGGTTCAACAGGAGGGCTCTCAATTTGGTTCCAAGATGAAGCTTTCCGGCAAATAAATCAAAGCGCAGGGGGATGCCGGAGCTTTGATTTCGACGTGCACAGGTCTGGCAGAAGAAATATGTCATCGGCAACAGATTGCTATCAGCGGGGTTCCGAGTCAGTGGGGGGGGGGTTGTTTGCCGGGAGTCCTCTCGACTGCCCGATTATATTGATCTTGTAGTCACTGTGACGTGGGACGTAGTGTCCCGGCTGTCAACAGCTCTGGATGACGACTTTTTTTGGAAGGCGAGCGGGGCTGGTGAAACGTTGTGGTGTCATCTGGTCGTTGAACCAGTCGCAACAGCTGCCAAAGAGAAAAACTAGTAATATGAAGATTTCCAGAACAGGCCGGCGCTCATGAAGACGACTGTGGACAGATTTTCAAGGGACATACAGGCACAAGGAAAGCCCGACATTGCCGGGGAATAGTAACCTCTCCGCAAAAGCAGGTGGAGGCCAATCGCATTCCACAAACCAGTAACTGTCGTGACACTTTACATCCGAAAGTTATGTAAAAATAGCCAACAGTATTGCCTTGGTTGACTGGTGCACGACGAATACCCATGGCGTTAATTGATGAGGCTTTTACAGCAAATGCCAAAATTTGGAACGTGGAAGTAATATATTATCCCTCGTATTATGCAATAAGAGCATCAATCAGGCTCAAGTCGATGACGCGTTGAAGTGATTTGTTTTTTCCTTGAACTGAAGCAAACTTCAGGGCTACAAATCGGGGCAGTCAATAGAATACCGGTAACCTTTCAAAACTGATATTTTTCTAAAACGAAACAGACTGAAGAAAATGAAAAGAGAAAAAAAGTACCCCTTGGGATTGAAACCACGGACATCGTCGACGTTAATCCAGTTCCTGCACTATGCAAGCTAGCTCGACCGAACCCTCTTTCCTTCGATTGTGCCACAACCCAATATAATAATGTCGATGCTCTTACGCAATCCCGGTGTCCATTATAGTGTATTACCGGCACGCTTAGTGAATGGCAGTTTGCCATTACAAGCCCTGTTATTAACAGCGGTGGGTAGTCCGATTGGGTGCAAGTTCGACTGGCTTTGTGCTCCCACCAAAAACTAATAGAGAATGTAACAGTGGGAAAAAAATGTGGCATTATTAAAGTGCGATGGCATATGTGCATCCCTTTGACAAGGACTGTTGATCTACAAAAGAAAAGTCTTAATTCCTTTCGAGCTATCAAGCAATGGATGGACTCTCATTAATATAAAACATTGGAGGCATGGGCCACCCTTTACGTAGGTTTACCCCGCAGTTTAATGAAGTTTTTCATTTCAAATCCAACATGCAAATTTGAGCACGGGGATTGTCGAGGTCACAGCGGAGACTACAATAGTTTCAGATTTCTCGACAAAGTTTAGATTGTGTTCCTCCCATGAAACATGAAGCTGGAGGTTTCCGTTCTCGACCAAGGAACGCAGGGATTCGTTCTGTTCTGCCCTGTTGTCTGTTACTCCCTTCAGCTGACAAACATCATCAAAGCTAGCTTGTTCTTGCATTGCGTTTTCGGTTAATCGGGGTACGACCTGCTGACAGTTGTTTTGTTATGGATTCTGGCTTTCTGTTTTGATTTGGGGGTTTGTTTTACTTGTTTAATACCCCCTCAAGCTACGCATGCTTGTCTGTAAATATGGACGCTTTTAACGCATCTAATGCATTTTTTCCTTATTTGTAATGGCCTTGGCTTCCAACATAAGTAGAAATCAAACCCTTTCATTTTTTCCACTGTTGTCCTCAGGTTTTCAGATTCTATGCCCTATTACATCATAATATATTCTTTGAAAAGATGTATCTAACCACCGTTTGGGCTGGCATCACAATAGGAAACCGCAAGGGTTCAGCACAGTTTACTACCCTGCTGAACTTGTACGGAATTCTAATTATTGCCAATTATAACCTCCCCCGGCTCCCGAAAAAACACGATGAAAAGAATTTCAGCGAG